TAAATTTAGTGTCATTCTGTGTAGAATTAAACGCTGTATCGAATGCTAATCTAGAATCATATGTCATTGGTGTCCGTCTATGCAAAGTTCCACTGCAAACTTGAATTTTCGCTTCGAAGCGGTCGCCGACGGGCCGAGCGTCACGTGACCCTAATCTCAGGAGCCGGTCAAGGTCACATGACCGGAGATCGGTCAGTAGTTCTCAGATTTACCGCTAGAGTAGCGCCACTTGTATCGATGTCCGCCCTTGGACCGTAACGGAATGTGTACAGGCCTTTGGAAGGGACAACACTATTCGACCGCCACCATTGCAGCCATTCTATAACTCAGGAACTACTGGACCGATCGGAACGAACGAAACACCATTCGAATCAAGGGGTACGATTTTATCAGCCGTTTCGAAGCTCGTGACCCCAGGTGACCTCGGTGACCTCAAGAGGTCAACTCGGCATTGACGCCTATTGCAGCCATTCTATAACTCAGGAACTACTGGGCCGATCGCGACGAAAACACCACCAGTCGAATCAGCGTATGCGATTTCATCAGCCGTTTCTAATATGGTGACCTCAGGTGACCTCGGTGACCTCAAAAGGTCAACTTAACGTTTTCGCCTATTGCAGCCATTCTATAACTCAGGAACTACTGGGCCGATCGTGACGAAAACACCACCAGTCGATTCAGCGTATGCGATTTCATCAGCCGTTTCGAATATGGTGACCTCAGGTGACCTCGGTGACCTTGGGCGGTCACATGACCAATGTGGCCTATGGCAGCCATTCTATAACTCAGGAACTACTGGGCCGATCGTGACGAAAACACCATCAGTCGATTCAGCGTATGCGATTTCATCAGCCGTTTCGAATATGGTGACCTCAGGTGACCTCGGTGACCTTGGGAGGTCACGTGACCGTTGTGGCCTATGGCAGCCATTCTATAACTCAGGAACTACTGGGCCGATCGTGACGAAAACACCACCAGTCGATTCAGCGTATGCGATTTCATCAGCCGTTTCGAATATGGTGACCTCAGGTGACCTCGGTGACCTTGGGAGGTCACATGACCAATGTGGCCTATGGCAGCCATTCTATAACTCAGGAACTACTGGGCCGATCGTGACGAAAACACCACCAGTCGATTCAGCGTATGCGATTTCATCAGCCGTTTCGAATATGGTGACCTCAGGTGACCTCGGTGACCTTGGGAGGTCACATGACCAATGTGGCCTATTGCAGCCATTCTATAACTCAGGAACTACTGGGCCGATCGTGACGAAAACACCACCAGTCGATTCAGCGTATGCGATTTCATCAGCCGTTTCGAATATGGTGACCTCAGGTGACCTCGGTGACCTTCGGAGGTCACATGACCAATGTGGCCTATTGCAGCCATTCTATAACTCAGGAACTACTGGGCCGATCGTGACGAAAACAGCATCAGTCGAATCAGCGTATGCGATTTCATCAGCCGTTTCGAATATGGTGACCTCAAGTGACCTCGGTGACCTTGGGAGGTCACATGACCGTTGTGGCCTATGGCAGCCATTCTATAACTCAGGAGCTACTGGGCCGATCGTGACAAAAACACCACCAGTCGATTCAGCGTATGCAATTTTATCAGCCGTTTCGAATATGGTGACCTCAGGTGACCTCGGTGACCTTGGAAGGCCACATGACCAATGTGGCCTATTGCAGCCATTCTATAACTCAGGAACTACTGAGCCGATCGTGACGAAAACACCACCAGTCGAATCAGCGTATGCGATTTCATCAGCCGTTTCGAATATTGTGACCTCAGGTGACCTCAGTGACCTTGGGAGGTCACATGACCGTTGTGGCCTATGGCAGCCATTCTATAACTCAGGAACTACTGGGCCGATCGTGACGAAAACACCATCAGTCGATTCAGCGTATGCGATTTCATCAGCCGTTTCGAATATGGTGACCTCAGGTGACCTCGGTGACCTTGGGAGGTCACATGACCGTTGTGGCCTATGGCAGCCATTCTATAACTCAGGAACTACTAGGCCGATCGTGACGAAAACACCACCAGTCGATTCAGCGTATGCGATTTCATCAGCCGTTTCGAATATGGTGACCTCAGGTGACCTCGGTGACCTTGGGAGGTCACATGACCAATATGGCCTATTGCAGCCATTCTATAACTCAGGAACTACTGGGCCGATCGTGACGAAAACACCACCAGTCGAATCAGCATATGCGATTTCATCAGCCGTTTCGAATATGGTGACCACAGGTGACCTCGGTGACCTTGGGAGGTCACATGACCAATGTGGCCTATGGCAGCCATTCTATAACTCAGGAACTACTGGGCCGATCGTGACGAAAACACCACCAGTCGATTCAGCGTATGCGATTTCATCAGCCGTTTCGAATATGGTGACCTCAGGTGACCTCGGTGACCTTGGGAGGTCATATGACCGTTGTGGCCCATGGCAGCCATTCTTCCCAAGGTCACCGAGGTCACCTGAGGTCACCATATTCGAAACGGCTGATGTAATCGCATACGCTGAATCGACTGGTGGTGTTTTCGTCACGATCGGCCCAGTAGTTCCTGAGTTATAGAATGGCTGCCATAGGCCACATTGGTCATGTGGCCTCCCAAGGTCACCGAGGTCACCTGAGGTCACCATATTCGAAACGGCTGATGAAATCGCATACGCTGAATCGACTGGTGGTGTTTTAGTCACGATCGGCCCAGTAGTTCCTGAGTTATAGAATGGCTGCCATAGGCCACAGCGGTCATGTGACCTCCCAAGGTCACCGAGGTCACCTGATGTCACCATATTCGAAATGGCTGATGAAATCGCATACGCTGATTCGACTGGTGGTGTTTTCGTCACGATCGGCCCAGTAGTTCCTGAGTTATAGAATGGCTGCAATAGGCGAAAACGTAAAGTTGACCTTTTGAGGTCACCGAGGTCACTTGAGGTCACCATATTCGAAACGGCTGATGAAATTGCATACGCTGATTCGACTGGTGGTGTTTTCGTCGCGATCAGCCCAGTAGTTCCTGAGTTATAGAATGGCTGCCATAGGCCACATTGGTCATGTGACCGCCCAAGGTCACCGAGGTCACCTGAGGTCACCATATTCGAAACGGCTGATGAAACCGCATACGCTGAATCGACTGGTGGTGTTTTCGTCACGATCAGCCCAGTAGTTCCTGAGTTATAGAATGGCTGCCATAGGCCACATTGGTCATGTGGCCTCCCAAGGTCACCGAGGTCACCTGAGGTCACCATATTCGAAACGGCTGATGAAATCGCATACGCTGAATCGACTGGTGGTGTTTTCGTCACGATCGGCCCAGTAGTTCCTGAGTTATAGAATGGCTGCCATAGGCCACATTGGTCATGTGGCCTCCCAAGGTCACCGAGGTCACCTGAGGTCACCATATTCGAAACGGCTGATGAAATCGCATACGCTGAATCGACTGGTGGTGTTTTAGTCACGATCGGCCCAGTAGTTCCTGAGTTATAGAATGGCTGCAATAGGCCACATTGGTCATGTGACCGCCCAAGGTCACCGAGGTCACCTGAGGTCACCATATTCGAAACGGCTGATGAAACCGCATACGCTGAATCGACTGGTGGTGTTTTCGTCACGATCAGCCCAGTAGTTCCTGAGTTATAGAATGGCTGCCATAGGCCACATTGGTCATGTGGCCTCCCAAGGTCACCGAGGTCACCTGAGGTCACCATATTCGAAACGGCTGATGAAATCGCATACGCTGAATCGACTGGTGGTGTTTTCGTCACGATCGGCCCAGTAGTTCCTGAGTTATAGAATGGCTGCCATAGGCCACAGCGGTCATGTGACCTCCCAAGGTCACCGAGGTCTCCTGATTTCACCATATTCGAAACGGCTGATGAAATCGCATACGCTGATTCGACTGGTGGTGTTTTCGTCACGATCGGCCCAGTAGTTCCTGAGTTATAGAATGGCTGCAATAGGCGAAAACGTAAAGTTGACCTTTTGAGGTCACCGAGGTCACTTGAGGTCGCCATATTCGAAACGGCTGATGAAATTGCATACGCTGATTCGACTGGTGGTGTTTTCGTCGCGATCGGCCCAGTAGTTCCTGAGTTATAGAATGGCTGCAATAGGCGTCAATGCCGAGTTGACCTCTTGAGGTCACCGAGGTCACCTGGTGTCACGAGCTTCGAAACGGCTGATAAAATCGTACCTCCTGATTCGAATGGTGTTTCGTTCGTTCCGATCGGTCCAGTAGTTCCTGAGTTATAGAATGGCTGCAAGGGTGGCGGTCGAATAGTGTTGTCCCTTTGGAAGCAATAGTTTGGCAGCTGAAAGTGCGGCACTTGTTGCGCGCAAAGCAGCATATACCACCGCGTGCTACAAAACGTTTTAGTCAAACATTTCAAAATCGTTAGATATCTGCGCTGACGTCACACATTCAGAGGGGTATTCCTATGCATTAGCCCCTCTGAATCAAAACGCTGCAATTTTGAAATTCAATATTTCCGATTTAAGGCATTTCTCGATGTTGTGAGTGCCGAAACCGGTAATTGTGAGCCAGGGACCCCATTTTGGCTATCTCAACTCAAATCTAATGTTAAGGTGGGAGGGTCCCTTTAACGTTAACCAGTCTTCTATGTGGGTAGGCAATAGGCATAGATGCACTGAGCGCAACGGCGTGATTCAAAACTGGGCTATATGGGTTGATATTTTGTGGTGAAATGCAAGATCAGTTAACCTTCGTACAAAATATTTTAAGATATAATTATATACTACTTGTGCTTAGTGGTGTTATTGATAGATAAGAAGTCTAAATCTTGTAGGGTTAATTTTTAAGACTGTGTAACGGTAAATGAGGAATCGGTTATAAGCACATGGAATAAGGTCGATCTATTTCAGTCTTAGAACCGCCCCAATTCCGTTCCAACACACGCCAAGCATGCATTTGTGGAAAGGTCAGAACAGAGTATCTGGATGATAGCGATATAATGTTATATTACTCACCCCGCATTTCTTGTCGGCGTTGCGTTTCCAGTGTTTCTTGTTCTTCTTAGTCTGTGCAGACGGTACGATGCTCGCATACGGTTTTATCTGCGGGTTCAGCGTCAGGATGGCCTGCAAATGGAATAGCACTGATCATTGGTCTATTCACGTCTTCCTATAGCATGCGGGAAATATAATGCTACTGTATTTACTAGGAAACATTGCTACGGGATTGTTTTATTCACTTTACCCCCCCCCCCCCCCCCCATTTTCATGCGGCACCATCTTTATAGTGGCAGTATCATCATCACTATGATCAGCGGACAGCTTTTCCTGTCCTCTAGTTAGTACCCACAGAGCCTCGACATCGCCCTTCGGACAGCGGAAACCGGCAAGTGTCCTGCCTTTGGAGCAGTTGAGGCAGTGTCGAACGGCAGACAGCATCAGACAGCGGAAACCGGCAATATGTGTTTGGAGCAGTTGAGGCAGTGTCGAACGGCAGACAGCATCGGACAGCTCGGACCCCGGACAGTGTTTACGCCGCTATAGTCTCCGGAGACGCCCGGATATAGCCGAGCACCACCGCGCCGAACGCAGGGGGTGTGTCTGGATACGGTCGTTCCTGGTATCCCAGAGTCAGCGACAGCTCGATGGCTGAATAAACAAACCTAGGCGACCTGTCTTATCTGACACAAGTGGAGCATAGGGTAAACGGAACAGAAACGTGATTCCTCTAATATGGTGGATGTTTCTGAATACAATAGGTTCACTCGGTATCACATTTGGGTGCCTGATGACCGAGGCAGATGCTTGCACAGTAACTTTATCTACAAGTATGCCTAGGCTAGACGTGAGTTAATGATCGTAGCTTATAATTATTTTATGCGGTGATGCGACCTGCAGACGCATAGGTATTCTAAATATTTATGAATGCCTCATAAGAAAACGAGAAAAAGCCGAATATGTTGTGAATAATGATTGCCATAACTTGTACGGTGATCATCGATGGCGAACCCGTTGGTTTATTGCTTCGTCTCCGATGACATTCGGGCTCCAGTCCGGGCACTAACTCCGAGAAAAGTCTACCGGTTCTGGTGGTCCTCGCTGAATCCTCATTTACCAAAAGCAACCAGTGCCTTTTTGGGAACATGAATCACGCGGTGAGACAAGGCGGCTGTATAATGCGGTCGTTACGAATCGGAAACTGATCCCTGCAATTTGACTCTAGCGCGTTGTGTCGCCTCGCATACAGGCCGACGCAATAAAAACCGGAGGACGGAGACGCGGATAAAATATAACTTACATCATCCCGTGATCCGTCAAAGGAATGATCTTTTACGGACGTAACAAATCAATAAAACAAACTTAACGATTTAGAGAAATTATTGAACGTTTCCGACTCCATCTCCGGGCAAAAAGTGCCGCCTTGCCTTCAGCTCCACATCACTGGTGTTTGTAGAAACATCCTGAGTCCTGACCTGTACCGCAGTTGTTACGCTGACTAAAGCGATTGCTGGCCGCCGCGTTACATAATGATACGAGTGCGACTGCGGACGGTCCGGCTCCGCACAGCCGGTCAGTGTCGGAACATAACATTGGACGAGGGGCCGGATCCGGGATGTGGACTGCACAGTCGCTCACCAGCCTGTATTCACAGCGTGTGCGTATGGAAACCAGAGGACCGCCCGGCTGGCGGTCATCAGTAGGTATAACCAGTGGTTGGAGGAACCAAATAAACAGTTCCGACGGGGTAGTCGCTAGCGCGGCTTGGTGACTTTTCTTTAGTGGCTGGTCACTTGGGATTGCCGAGCTTCAGGGTCGCGCTTGACTGCCTTACCAGTCCATAACCCTTATCTATCCTATCATCCAACGGTCCGAAAGGGGTTTTATCAGTACGAAAGAGTCAATTTCAGCAAAACCAAATCAAAACAAATATGACATGACCTAGGGTCATTCGGGTCATGGCCCTGGCATGCTGCTGCGAGTGATCTGGATCGTTGACACTTGACATTATCTGACAGTCTCGGCTGTGACCTTATCAGCAGACTAACACAGTCGTTAGTATCTGGATCCGGAGGGCGGCCCGGTGTGCCTGCATGTGCGCTCGAGTGAGCGAGTGACCACGAGCACGACGCTCACTGGCGGCTGGCCGCAATTGTGGACTGTGGTCGCCAAGAGACGTCTTATTTCAGATTTAAAAAAAAAAAATAAACTATAGAGTTATCAAAGGGACTCACAAAACACAATATATGCTTAGGTACTTTTGATATTTTGTAGCTGCCTTGTACCCGCAGGATGCGTCTCCCCGCCTCAGATTTTAATGCCGACATCAAAGGTTTTATAATGAACAAATGGCAGCATTCGTGGAATAGCACGAATGATAACAAATTGAAGCATATGAAACCACTCGTTGGGACACTGGAAATCATGCTACCAGAAAAAGAGAAAAGACGAGGTAATACTGAGCAGGTTACGTATTGGTCACACGTACGCCACGCACCGATACCTGTTATGCGGGGCAAGGCGGCCGCTCTGCTCGCGGTGCGACCTTCCACTAACTATCCGTCACGTTCTCATTGACTGCCGCGATCTTGACGACTACCGAGCTCGTATATTCGGATCCAGAACCGTATCTTTACGGGGTCTTATAGGTGACGACTCGACTCTGATCCCTAATGTTTTTGAATTTCTCAACTACGTTCGTTTTTCGGTCATCTTCTCGACGAACTCATAGGGCTGGTAGTCCGCAGTTTTATCTCATTGTTTCCGCGACCTTTTATCTTCTACATGTTTACGATATGATTGATGTGTCGACATCCTCAATAACAGCGATGTAAACCAGTCGTTATGGGCGCCATATAACCTCCCGAGTTGAGGCGCCCCTAAACCCCAACACACACGATATTTTGTTGAGAAATGGTACAAAGTGGGACGTGGTTCCTTCACGCTAAACTAACAGCAATGTCAAATGTGATATGTCCCCGAAGACGTGAGAGCCCGAGGGACGAGGTCGGCGCCGCAGAAGGTACGCAACACTGTGCCCCCTCCCCCCCCACCCCCCATGTCCTGTCAGGCCTCCGGGAGCCGGACGGACCAAGGTCCTCGGACCGCCGGCACACACCGTTTGCAGACCGCGGTATGCGAACTAAGAGCAGTCCTCACCTCAATATCGGGCGGGTCCACGCTCAGACACGAGGTCATGGTCTCCGCTGGACGGCTCGGCGGCTCGACTCAGCTATAAGATTCCGTCTCTGGTGGCGCGGCTACGCCTATAAGATAGAGAAAACAGGTTACAAGAATAACTCAGCATCGATTGGAAGTTTCCACGGAGGCAAAGTGTCATGCTTCGACACATGTGAATGCCACATAGATGAAGTTTGGATATAATTCCCGCAATTGATTTTACAGAACATTCGGTGAAGGCACTTGCCGCTCGTAATTCTGCTTTCCGGTTGGTCTGTAATAAACGTTGGTGTACTTTGGAATAGTGTTTTGCTTCCATCGGCTGCGAATGTGAGACGGTAACCGAAACAACTAAACGGACAGTGACTTAAACAACTTGACCATTTTCACCCGTTGGGCCGCTTTATCCCTCTTTCCGGGACGCAAAATAAGACGGCATCTACTGAACAAAATGATTCGCATTGCAAGGTTTCCTTACAGCCTAAGACTTGTGCTGCATCGCCAGGCGGACCTCGGTGGGGCAGCTGCTTGTTCAGGCCAGTGAAGTGGTCCCGGGGTGGCCCCGCCACCCACACCACCAGAACGCACATTTGTTATTCTAGCGACAAATAGTCAAACACAAATAATCACACATTGCTGACGTTTACACGATAACAGCATCGAAAGAAATAATGTAATTTACCTCACAGCTGCCCGGCGCTATTCCGTGCGGTCCTCAGCGAGCGCACGCGGTCCGAGTCTCGCACTCGCACCACACTGCGCAGATCGCTCGGGCTCACTCTCCGACCTCGGTGCCGCAGTTCACACGTCCCTCCCTCCACCGGCGGCGGCGGAGGCACTGACCGACTGTCCAGCGCCGCAGGCCCTCCGACTGGAGCAGCGGGAGGGCGGAACGGCAAACACGGGCCGGGCCGAGCAGGCAGGGACGTGGCGCCCTCTGAGCCCTCGGTGGCCTCAGCAGCACGACTCGGCGAGTATGCTGTATGAGATGCAAGGCCCTATATAGATGAGATGAGATACGCAGGCGCAGGCAAGGCCCTAAAACATAGGCGCAGGGGCCAGGACGAAGTAGTGTCTAACTGGTCATGCACGTGAAATGGAGTTTCGGGTACCTACTTGCTTAAGATCCTGACGGCAGCTGGTCCACGTCCACATGATATAGGTACCTCGACACGGACCAAGACGATACCTAAAGCTGAGACCCGAAAGCAACCAGCCTTTCATTTCTAAAGCAGTATACGTAAACAAGCTTTTATTTCTCGACATGCATTACGATTAACCTTTTGGTGATTATTGTTCCAGATTTTCCGTGACACAGTCAGTAGCGGCGGAACACCTTCAATTAAGGGGGGGGGGGACTGCCGACTTTTGGTCCCATTCTTTCCATGCAACGCCCATAAGGGCTAATGTTAAAATGCCAAAATCAAAGGGGGGCACGGTGCCCCGGTGCCCTCCCCGTTCCGCCACCTATGGACACAGTGCACAGCACACTCAATAATGACAGCTGGTTTGTCCTCTTTCCCAAAAGTCATTGCCACGCCCAAAGCGATCCGCGCCTATATGTTACTTTATGTCGGGCTCGGTTCCGGTCCAAAGCACTGTGCGACCCATGGGTTACGCACGGCGTACGTTTACGATCCGAGTCCTGAGAGAAAATCATGGAGCTGTCCTCTTACTTTCGAGGAATTAGGTACAGCCCAGCAAATGCAACACTCAGCCATAGGCGGCGGAACGGGGGGGGGGGCGCCGTGCCCCGGGCCCCCCTTTGATTTTGGCATTTAAACATTAGCCCGGGCGTTGCATGGAAAGAATGGGACAAAAAGTTGGCAGCGTCCCCCTCCCCATGGTATTCCGCTGCCACTGCACTCAGAGTCAGCCAGGGCGACATCGGCAAGTGCGGACGCGGTCAAGATTCCTTAGTGCGGTAACTTCCGGCCTTGTCGCCTGCCGGTACTGGTACTCCTGGTACTGCGGTAAGCCGGCAGTCGAGGGCCGCCGATGGAATTTCTTAGAAGCTGCTCTTCTTTACAGGCTAGATTTAGAATTAACCCGCGCCCCAGTGGCGGTCTCAGCCAACTTCGCCCTAGTGGGGGGGGGGGGGCATATGTTACCACCCACCTCTAACTCAAAAACTAAGAGGGCTAGAAAGACGCGGTAAAAAACAGTCGATAGCTCTCAATGCGTACGTTTGAAAGTATTTCGGTCATTTTTCACCTCAGAGCAATATTGGGGTCACCAGAGGTCATCAAAGGTCAAAATTTGCCAATTGTCATTATATTTTTCAGAAAACATGCCGCTATCACAGGAACTATGGTAGCTAGAAAAACGCATTGAAGTACAAACGATAGCTTTTGAACTCTTCTTTTGAAAAAGTCATTATCAATATTGACCTCAGGTCAACGGTTTAGCCTCCAGAGGGCAAAAACTAAAAAAATAGCTGTTTTAACGAAAAGTGTTTTTCGACAATAACTTTCGACTACAAAAAGCCACGACATTTCTATTGCCAGAATCGTGTTCCCCTCGCCGAGACGCGTCGAATGAACTATAATTTGACCTTGAAAGGTCAACTTGAAAATTTGACCTCAGGTCAAGGTCATGACCTTACCGAAAAAGGTCATGTTGCATATCAGTCGATGCGTTTCAACAAGACAAACACAATGAGACCATCTTCAGCGTTCTATCTCTTTCCAATCGCGAGTTATTGGCAAAAAACTGTTTGTAGCCTCAAGTGACCTCGGATGACCTGTCTAGAGGCTATCAGCAAAAATGACACCCTGGTCATCACGAGTGGACTAAATCATTGTGATTCTGAAATAGTTGGACTGTTCCGATGCGTACACACGGATCTAGAGGCATTTTCATTTTTCTCCATTGACTTGTAATGGAAAGGTCACGCCACTGACCTGACCTTAGGTCACGGATATAAAAAATCCGAGATATACAAATTGTAGGCTCCCATAACAGCATGCAATCCACCAAGTTTCAAACCTTTCTGACAAACACTGCAGGCTGGACATGATTGCAAACTTTTTTAGGCTTGGTCAGTTAACTTGACCTGGTGACCTGACCTGACATGACCTGGGGTCAAAAATTTCACACATTGTCCAAAATTGATGTACCAAAAGCTACCCCAAGCGGCGCGGCGCTACGCGCCGCGGTTTTTTATTTACACGCAAAAAACGCGACAGGGTGGTAACATATGCCCCCCCCCCCCCACTGGGGCGAAGGTTAATAATAACGATGCCCTGACAATTGTTGGAAAGGTGTATTCACTAAGAAATAATTAAATTGCTAGCATAACGTGAGAATAACATTTGAAGCAATATTACTTTACTAATAATGATTTGAAGTGCCGCGAAAACCAAAGACGCGTTTACATAGGGTTTGTTGCAAGCTTATATCTCCGTCCGTGATGTTGCAAAAGATGCCAATGGTGCTTAACAATTTACAAAATGATCCCCTCTAAATATTTGAAGATCACTGCATCGCAATTATCGCCAAATTAACGAGCTAGAGCCTCGTCAAAAATGCTATGTAAACCGGGTTCAAGATTCTTTTACTACTTGGCGTAATATGGTACCCCTTATGGTAGCCGTGTGTAGGACATTTGTGACGCATGTGTTTGAATGATTTGTTTATAGTTAATTTACTGCATTTTTATGGCATCACGAAAATAAAAAGTCAAAATGGGAGAGCACAGTGCAAAGCTTTCAATAATGGCCACCAGGTGGCAGCAAGGGCGTTACTGCCGTTCCATTTGCTGTCACGGCCGGGGCCGGGTATCACGGAGCGCTGCCTGCGCTGTTGCGCTTTTGGTTTCATACTTGTTGCACTCTACCATACTGTTGGAGATATAGGGGTAGTGTGTGACAAGTATGAAATCAAGGCAGCGCTCCGTGGAACACGGCGCGGGCTGCGTCCGTCACCCAAGTCCCAGCAATTATCGCGCCTCAGGCTGATGTGCAACTGGCTGCTGCTGATGTCCAGCTGCTGGCAGACCAGCTTCAGTCTCATGCCGCCATGCCATCAAATGAACCCAAAGCTTTCAATCATTTGATAGATAACTACCAAATGAACCCTTCCGTAACTCGACTCTTACTCAGAGCAAGAGTCACATCGCAAGGTCAGGTCACTGCCGAGGCGAGAGCCGATACCAGAGGCACGCATTCATCCAATATTCTCGCTTCTAACGTCAGAAAAGAAACTATGCGAACAGATATGGCGAAAAATAGATGTGCGGATAATTTCGTTACACCCTGTAGGAGTTCCTTTAGACCATGTCCGTATCCTGTAACCAGCTGCAGACAGAGCTCGTTCGTTTCTATTCATGCCAATGAACTTATGAGCGTCACTGCGCGATGGCGAATACAACACATGGCTTTTGAAGCAGTGTATGATAGTCAACAGCGGTGTATTGAACTGACATCGAAACATAGCAGAGTTCTAGCTAAACCACTTCGACAAGGCAAGCTCCAAAACTCAAAAGCATTCAATACCACCGATTACCAAATAACATACAGCTTTCAAGCAATGCACTGTGCACGGCATACACATGTCGCCCTCCAATGCACCATTCACAAATGTAGGCATGTACAATAAACATGAGAGGGTGAAGCTCAGTCTGCTAATGCTAACGTCCCAGAGCGCGCACATCCCCGCAACCTGCATGAGCGATTTCTGCAGGCTACAGACGAGACACACAGAACGGAATATGTCTGAAAGAACAGGTACCTAACCGGCATCGATTTGCCCCCTAAGAAACGAGTAAGTCTTGATCAGACCAATCATACGCCCGACATGGATATGATCCCTCGTGATAGATAGGGAGCGACTGAGTGCATTCAGCGGGAGAGAGCTGAGACTTCCCTAGGAACGCTGGTGTTATGACACGTACATCACGACAGGCTAACAGATCTTGGACATTGAACCTTGGTGCTGATATTGACAGCACCATCAAATAGCCCCGCAGTGGTGCAGCACACCCCCCTTCAGTGTTGCACTTCTCATAAGCAGCAACGTCAGGTGGAGGTGGAGCACTCTTCTCCATCTCATCTGCCTGTTGAGCCCATTCTTGTACCTGTGAAAACAATAAAATTTGTATTAACTGCTTCATACATACTGTATACAGCCTGACAGGGCATGAGATAGACCATTATCAGAAACTTTATGCACGTCTTTTCCTACATGCCGGGGTATGTCTTAAGCACAGCACGAGCCGGGCAGTAAAACTATGACCAAGAAACTGTCGGTGTCAAAATGCCATGTTATTTGATAGGCCGGGCAGGAAACAAAAGTTTACTGCCCGAGTTTACTGCCCAGGGCAATGACCTCTTAACTACAGTTTATCGCATTAGCCCAGAGGTATAATTGACAGGGAATGTATAATTGACATCATTATTGCATGATATTTCCCGCGTAAAATTAGAAAACTAACATTTTTTTGGTAGAAAATATCTGCTTTGCTTATCAAGGGTTTTGAAATATTTTGCATTGGTTACAAAGCCGAAATTATGTTAAGATATGCGCCTAATAATCGAAATCCGTTATCGCTTGTTATCTTATCTTCGTTTGATATGTCTACTGAGACCTTGGGACTAAGTTATTGCGTTATCATTTGACAGTTGTAGTCCTTTCCTCGAAACAAACATGTAAAATATGGAAAATATAATGTATTTCACGAAAGTTTACCCATAGGGCATCAACAAAGTACGATTACATAAATAAAGAAAAGATTCTTGCAAGAGCACTGGAAAATTTACGTTTAATCACTAGGATTATTATACCTTCTTCTTGTTCTTATGTCGTGGCAAATTATTCATGTATTATGTTCCTTGGATATCTAGTTGTTGTGCCATTCTGAGTTGATATTTTCAGACGCGATTCTTTTTGAAGTAATTTGTTTTGATGCATTTTCTTCTATAAATTTCCTTTAAAGCTTTATCCACAGCACTTAGCAGTAGCGCAATCACTGTTAGGAAATTATGGACAACACAATTTAATAAAAGTATCACCAAAACCTGTCGAAACTACTTAGCAGGTATGCGGCATGTAGGAAAAATCTTACTGACCTCAGCCGTACGAAATTATTTGGAAACTCGGTTTGCAAAATTTGACTCCGGCCCTCGTGCTTCGCACTCGGGCCTACGTCAATTTTGCAAACCTCGTTTCCAAATAATTTCGTCGGCCCGGTCAGTAATATATATTATTACCACTGGTTGGTTCTGAGCAATTAACATCTGCCAAAAGATGAAAACACTTTAGATTGAACATACAATTTGCCCAGTTAAGTATACTTTTGTGACTTGTCTGTGAGTTGTGGGATAAAAAACCTTTCAAAAAACAAACTTTGAGAAGTGATCCCCTTACATCTGCCATCCAAATCACAAAACAGAGAATCTCCTATCCTGTCTGGATCTGACAGTGTCTGCCCATTGCTCAAATGTCAATAACAATAAACAGTTATAGATAAATAGTGCCACAAGGCACAAACTTATTCATCGTATCTGCAGGTAAAGGACAGCATCTAAGCTCTGTAGTCGTTCACTGACCAAGCTGCCCAACAGCTAGCCATGTTCCTTTTCCTTGCGCCTAGCTTGCCTACGAATTGCTGAAGCAGTTGAAGCTGGTGCTTTGCCCTGAGTAACAGATGGAATAACCCCCTTCTTCAGCCTCTTCTGCTGTTGTCTGGCCCTTGACAATGCATGTCATTGTTTATAGCACTGTGAAGTGTTTTCTTGCCTGTGAAGTGTTTTTTGATGGATCATGAAGTATACGTACCTCACCTATGATGTTGATGTGAGATGTCTATGAAGCATGCAATAGCTTGTACAAATAAAGGTAGTAGTATAATTCTAATAAATGATTGTTGACCTCTGTAGTATTTAGGACATGAACATTCCATGAAAAGCAGACCCATTTTTCGTTTGATACTTATGGTGGTAGCCGGTAGGTGACTTCCCAGTTCCCCGGGTGGCGAATGATAGGGTATATCTTAGATACAAAGCTGCGCATGACCATAAAAACTTACCGTAAGCAGTATATTCCAAAAAATCATCGTCGGTGAAATACTTCCGAACACACAACCAAGTGTTTGGTGGGATGAAATCCATTGCAGCCTGAGCCATATCTTCCTCGGTCTCTTGTCGCGAGGAAATACAACCCCACCACTCTCCGAGCAGCCATAGACACAACACTGAGCCATTTTCTTCCAAATTTAGGTCTTATGCCACATGTGACTCACTACTTCCTCAATATTTCACCCACTTTCACCGCACGGCACGGCTCCGAACGGCACCGGCGCAAATTGAATCAGCAGGAACGCCTACAGTGACACCTGGCGGCCAAAGTTCCGTGTTATCTCCCATTAAATTTGCTGCTCTTATTTGTGATTTTCACTAACCATTTTGTGATAAAGAAATAACATTTTTTGCAATTGGGGTCAGTCAATAGCGGTGTTTGTTTCAAGTTTGTTTATCGCGCAACAACGTGCGACGCAAGGTGCGACGTGGACGAATCCCCCAATCTCGCTTCCGTAATCCGTATCCTATATACGGCCTATCGCTGCAATAGTTAAAGTTATGGTTATTGGTTACGTTACATGAAAGTTAGCCTATTGCAATTGGGGTCAGTCAATAGCGGTGTTTGTTTCAAGTTTGTTTATCGCGCAACAACGTGCGACGCAAGGTGCGACGTGGACGAATCCCCCAATCTCGCTTCCGTAATCCGTATCCTATATACGGCCCCACGGCCTTGGTCCGTATGTGTCCGCGGTTCACATCGCTGGGTTCACTTCATTTGGCTTTATTGTATGCTGTTATTTATGCTTGTTATTTATGCTTGTGCTGCACTTTCAAACACATTTTTTTGTATGTAAGCATCTTCATCAATAGGTACCATTAATAAGTTTTTTTTTTTAATTTGTAGGTGCGTAATAATGCACCCAGAGCACTAAAGAGTCAAGCGTCAATGCACCCATGCCTGTGATTAGTTTGAGTTTAACCTCTTGAGTATGGCTCAAATCATACAATGGTAATGGATTCTAATAGAAATTGATATTGTTGTGATGCTTTTGGCCTAGACAATAAAAAAGTGCATAAAAATTAATATTAAGATGTTTATTAAAAATCCAAAGCTAAAAAAAACACCAAATGTAGCATGATGCACACAGTACTCATTGTTGATGTCCATTTCTGATGTACTTGTGAGGCATGTATTGTGACCGAGGCCTCTCGTCTGCTGCCTGCTGGGCGATGGTAACTGCTTGAATCATCATTGACACACATTGGCCCTGTTCATGTGTCTGCGGGTGCGGCCGCTCTGCGTTAATAAAGTCAGGGCCTAGCTAGTGGCCAATTAGGGTGGCGGGAACGGGAACTGCCATATCTGTGTGACGTGTGTTGCCTGATTGGCTGTTAGCTTAGCCCTGCCTTTTGACCGCAGGAGCCATGGGTGCCACAGACACTCAAACAGGGCCATGGAATGTTAAAAGAAATCATAGAGGAGATAGAAATGCTTCTAACAGATTTGCACAACACTTAAGCTGAACTGTTACTCTTAGGTTAGTTTTTGACCTTTTTTGCTTCAATTGATGCTCTAGATGAGATTATATTTATGATACCTACTACATTCACTCATTACCCTTTCCCTTTTCCGCTCATTGCATGCAAGATTGGGTCATATACTGAGACGGATTTCATTGTTATAACTGATCAGTGAAGGCCAATGGACTTGGAATGAATTCCATTTATAGCACTTCAGGTGAACCCTGGTGTAGTGTGCTGCAGTAGTCAGCAGCTTCAAAATAAGCCAAATACTGTCAGCAATTAGGTAAGACTGAACTTGATGCTAATTTTTGTATTTTCCAGCTTCTCCCCATCACCATGGCAGAAGAAAACAATGATGGCAACAAACAATTGGATGAAGCTTTGGATTGTCTAAACACAACCTTCAAACATAAAGATTTCAAGACACCACTGCAAAGAGATGCAGTCTTGGCAGTTCTGAAAGGTAGCTGGACATTAATATCTATCATCATGCTAAGAGATTTGCTTAATTTGTGCCTCTGAAGTTTTTCTCCCTGCTCTCTCTCTCTCTCTCTCTCTCTCTCTCTCTCTCTCTCTCTCTCTCTCTCTCTCTCTCTCTCTCTCTCTCTCTCTCTCTCTCTCTCTCTCTCTCTCTCTCTCTCTCTCTCTCTCTCTCTCTCTCTCTCTCTCTCTCTCTCTCTCTCTCTCTCTCTCTCCCCCCCCCGAGGTTTTTCTTCTCGCCTTTGTTCAATCACTGCCGACTGGGTGTGGTCTCATCCCTCACACACCCCTTCCCTTTCTTTCTCCCTCAGTTCCTCTCTGCCTCTTTCCCTCCCTCCCTGCCTCCGTCTCTTGCTGTTTCACTTTCTTACCCACTCTCACCCCTCAATTTTTGAAAATATGTTTTGTTTGGCATCTGACTGACCTGATTTCCCTTCAATATACAGGTAAGAAAGATGTGTACATCTCCATGCCCACGGGATCTGGCAAGTCCCTGTGCTACCAGCTGCCAGCAGTGATGGCCAAAGGCAAGATCTCCATAGTGGTATCCCCACTCATTGCTCTTATTAAGGTAAGCTATGTGTTACTATACTTCCTCTGTCAATAATGATTTTGATTGGTTGTTGGCACATTGGGACAGGGATGCCTCAGAGATAAATGTTTCATATGCCTATACTTCCTGAGGAATTGCTGAATACTTCAAAGCACTTATTCAGTCGATCAAATGAGGGTGAGTATTTACTTGGTTCTTAACCCTCGCATGTGTGCGGCGTTTGCCAGCTTCTAATGTGTAGGGGGGGGGGGGTTGGACCCCCCCCCCCCTTGCCGTTTGGCCCCTGATCGAGCTAGAGCTTCGCGGAAAAAACGAGCGTGTTGCCCGTGACGAGAGGAAGCCGATGATACCCAATTTTAAGGTCCTAGGTCATTGGTTGACCTTCCAGGTCAGGTCAATGACCCAAAGTCGGGAAAATCGGGACCTGTTAGAAAGTCGTAAAGTGTGGCTGCTAAGGGGTTTTTCGGGATGCTGATCACGAATATCGTGTTAGTTTTGATCACAGATGATGTCTTGAAGCATTTAGACCAGGTCGGGTCAGGTCAGGTCAGGTCAACCAGTAGGCGTCGTGACGGGTATTCGTAGTACGTGTCAACCGCCTCTGACAGCTTCGTAACATGTTACGAAGTCACCAAAACTACTTCGTAAATGTTCAAATGGTTGCTAAATTCGAATTCAGCTCCAAAAACTAGCCTAGAAACATGTAAAACTCGAAAAAGTGACCCGAGGTCACCCGAGGTCACCAAAGGTCAATGACCTGACCTGACCTTCAGGTGACCTTGACACACACGGGAGTAACATCAAATCACATGTTTGAACGTTTGAAACCACGAAAAGCTTGCAAACACGCGGCTAGTGCGAGCCGACATACGCGAAATCGCGATTCCGGCCAAACATGGTCTCGGAAAAGAGGTCACAGGTCAAAGGTCATTTGGGTCAGGGTCATGAAATTTTCAGGGTAGGTGTAAAATTGATCAATGCGAGGGTACTGAAAGTTTCGTCGCGATCGGCCGCTTTTTACGCGAGTTATTCGCGAAAAACCATGGGGGGGGGGTCCATCCGACCCCCCCCCCCTACACATGCGAGGGTTAAGGTGAGTTTGCTTAACATCACCTGGTGATCTGACCTTGAATGACCTCTGTCTGAAATTATGGCAATGTGTGTGCAGTGGGAGAGATGTATCACAAATAATGAGTGAAACCTGAGCCCATCCCGCGCCCCAGGACCAAATGGAGCACCTGGAGCGGCTCAAGGTGCGCGCCGAATCCATCAACTCCAAGATGGCGGCGTCCGACCGTCAGCGGGTGTGGACCGACCTGCAGGCCGTGGTGCCGGCCACGCGGCTGCTCTACATCACACCCGAACAGGCCGACACCACCAGCTTTCAGGTACCGTCCGCCCGGCTCCAAATGGTGGCCAATTCGCTGCCTATTTGGTAGTAAGGGTTTTACTTGATGGTCAACTAATGTGGTTTGTCGGTAGTATATCGGTACTTAATTGATATATAACTGATTTTGTCATTCATATAATCACTTAAATGTATTTTTTCATTAAGTAATGATAAAACTTTCTTATCCGTCCATTCTTCACAAATCGTTCACGTTTGGCGTTATTCCCGTGATCCACAGAACCTGTTGGAGCGTCTGGTGCGTCACAGCAAGGTAGCCTACATGGTGGTGGACGAGGCACACTGTGTCAGCCAGTGGGGCCACGATTTCCGTCCCACCTACCTGAAACTGGGCGGTCTGCGCCGGACGTACCGGCAGCTGCCCTGGGTGGCGCTGACGGCTACTGCATCGGCTAAGGTGAGCCGCACACGGGCACATCCTGCGCACCTGGAGCACTTTGTGCAATATGCTGTCCAGCGGGGGCACAGTTGCAACGTGTCGAGGTCTTTGGTAATTGGTAGTAATTGGTAGGCTTTTTTCTTTTCCGCGCTATTATACAAGTGTCAGCTGTTTTTTTTTTCTCGATAGTGCATATTTTTCCTGTTCTTGAAGTAATAGCTAGTAAGATGTCATCTTTATTCTCTGTATTTATTATGTGAGGAATTTCTATATTTTAATCGTGCTCGTATCGTGTCTAGGTGATGGAGGACATCTTCAAACAGCTATCGCTGAAGGACCCGCTGAAGTTCCGCGCCTCCTGCTTCCGTTCCAACCTCTTCTACGACGTACGGTACAAGGAATCACTGGACGACGAGTATGAAGACCTCAAGGACTGGGTGGTCGAGTGTCTCGGGCCCAACTGGGAGGACAAACGGGTAGGTGTGGGGTGCTGTCGGTATTGCTTTGGGTGTTTTTGCCTTGCTATGTTTGTTATTTTACGGTGTGCATATTCGTGTACTTACGTACATATTTTATCCCGAAGCGATCGATGTTTGCCGTTTATGTAAATTACCGATGACGTATGGATAATGTTCTCGTCCTCAGGCGCACGGTCCGTGCGGGATGGTGTACTGCCGCACCCGCGAGGCGACGGAGGAGCTGGCCGGGCAGCTGACGCGTCGCGGGGTGCCCACCCGTGCCTACCACGCCGGTGAGCCATCTGAAGTAGCGGCAAACGTCACCGTAGTGTGTGCATTGCGCACTCAAGGAAATTGAGCGCCTATCAGTGTATTTAAAGCGATAGCCCATTCGTATACATTCTAGTGTTGATCGCTGCAGTATTCTTTGGTCATGCCTGCAAAATAATGTTGATACTGTTTGAAAACGGTTGTTTCTCTCGCTAGGTCTGAAGGACCGTGACAGGGCAGCGGTGCAGGAGAGCTGGATGGATGGAGAGGTTCCCGTCATCACTGCCACCGTCAGCTTTGGCATGGGCGTCGACAAGGCCACCGTCAGGTGAGCGGTGTAAACAAGACTCTGTTCTTGCAATGAGTTAACGCGATAGTAATAATATTTATTTTCCATAATAAATTTTGAAGCATATGAATTGACTTTGATGACATGGTCTGTTTTCTGTTCAGGTTCGTCGGCCACTGGAGCATGCCTCAGTCGGTGGCCGGCTACTACCAGGAGTCGGGCCGAGCCGGACGAGACGGACTGCCCGCCCAGTGCCGCATCTACTACTCAAAACGGGTGAGCACTGGCTAATCAGCACCGTTCAGGCGGCTAACTAAGCTTCGGTAAATGTGAACACAGAATTGTGTCATCGAGTTGCGTGGGGATGTAGGAGATTCGTCTAGTTTGTAAAGCACAGCTATCTCCTACATGAACCATGAGTCTTGTGCATGACGTTGATTTTAACAGAGCTGTTCCTTGAATAACTAACATATTATTTCAGGTATTGAAACGTTGAGTTGAGCATTGTTGATAAGATTATCAGGAGTATGAAAAATAACCTCTTGCTCATATCTGAAGGAATTAAAAAATTAAAGACCAATATATATTCGGGCGTGGCCCTTCCTCAGTGGTACAGTGTTACAATGGAACAAGCCGTTCCATTGTATTGGAACAAGCCGTTACCCGTTCAAGCCGTTCCATCGTATTGGAACAAGCCGTTACCCGTTCCATTGTAACACTGTACCACTGAGGAAGGGCCACGCCCGATTATATATTGGTCTTTAATTTTTTAATTCCTTCAGATATGAGCAAGAGGTTATTTTTCATACTCCTGATAACTAACATATTAATTAATCGATGTTTTTTTTCAACAGGAACGAGACACGGTAGCCTTTCTGCTGAAAAGAGGGGCTTCACATAACAAGAAGAAGAATAAAAAAGAATTGACAGAGGCTGATATGAAGAGTTTTGAAGTCATGGTTCGCTACTGTGAGGAGGCAAGGTGAGCCTGAGCATGCCCATTTATCCAATACTTTCAGGTGGGTGGAACTCCGCAGGCGATGCATTACAAAGTGCATTTGTTTTGCCATTTCGTTGTTGACGCGCCGATACGTGTCAGCTATAATGAACAGTCAGACGGTTGGTTAGGATGAAGATACGATCGTACGGAGCTTCCGCTGAAGACCCGTAGTTTGTGCGCCTGCCTTACACTGAAGTAATTCTCTGCTGCTGTCATTACCCAGGTGTCGTCACGCGGTGTTCGCGCGGTTCTTTGGAGACGATCCGCCCGCCTGCGGCAAACAGTGCGACGTCTGCCTGAACCCCCGACAGGTGGAGCGGCTGATCGGCGGATACTTCCGGGTCAGTCACTGTCGGGCCGCAGTATGGCATCCCTCGCTTATAGAAAGACCATGGAAAATACCATACTGTGCCTCATTTTCATTGAAAAGAAGTGACAAACTAAAGATGCTATTTGTCAAGTTTTTTAAGCATTCTACGTTGCTTTTCATGGTGCAAGTGACATCAACAGATAAATGTGCATTTTACACAAACTAGTGGCTGAATCCGTGGTTAGTTATTACGTTCAAGCGACCCAATGACATCTGTCGCGTCCTCGGACTTGTACGGAGTCCGCTGACACCGCACTGTGGTGTGTTTCCACCAGGACATAGCCCGAAAGCAGGATTACCGCACCAAGGCGATGACCATCTCCAGTCTGGATGAAGACCAGTACGAGGGCGGTCGGCGCGGCCGGCAGCGGTGAGTACATGTCCCGAGGGACACGTGCTACTGATCTCGTATGCTTTCGAAAGGCGTGCAGTTGAGCGAACGTCCCTGTTCCAATCCCTTCTAAAAGTACGTAGATTTATAAATTTCCCTAGCCCTCTGCCCACATAAGCATGCACTGTGTAAATATTTAAAGGCTTCTCTCAGTTTCCCTCCCAGTGCCTCTACTGTACTGATTTTCCCTGTCACACCGCCGCCAGGGAACTGGACATGTACGAGGAGACTGGCGAGCGTCGGTCGGACGAACGGTCCGGCCTGGAGAGCCTGGTGAAGCGGCAGCTGAAGCTGCGCCGCGGCTCGTCGCCGGTTCGCTCTGACCGTCAGAAGAAACAGGAGAGCAAGGAGAAGGAGCAGGCCGTCAAATCGTCCCGGCTGCGCGCCGCCGACTGCACCGAGCGCAAAATCGCCGGACTCACCCTCAAGGTGTGATAATTGGAGATGGTTGGATCGCTATTACTTCCAGTTTTTTTTTCTCTCTTCTCTCCTCTCTTCTCCTCTTTTTCTGTTCTTTTCTTCTCTCCTCTGATTATCCCTTCATTCTCATCTCTTTTACTGTCTTTTGTTGTCATCTCCTCCGCTCTCCTGTGTCTTCATATCTCCTGCTCAAATGATTGTGCACAGATTGTAACAGATTTTATGGTAACGCACCGTTGTACAAGAAAATTACGAATATTTACGAGTATTCGCTTTCGTGCACCTCACCGGGTGAACATGGTACTTCGATGATGGTCTTTCTATTTTGCATCTTCTCCGCGACAACACGTCGAGGGATTGCTTTATCGTGTCGTTACAGACTCGTGAGGAGTACTTCAAGCTGCTGGAGGAGGCGCTGTCCCGGAACCTGAACGCCTGTGTGGTGGCCGCTCACGCGCTGGCCGGGCGGGTACCTGAGGTCGCCATCGAGCTGGAGTACAACATCTTCACGTCCAACCGCGTGGTGACGATGTACCGGCGAGCTATGGCCTTGCTGGTAAGTCACAAGGCTGCTGGTGAGGCGTACAGACTGTGACTTGACTGAACCGTTCATTTTTGCCGTGTTTATTTGAGCTTGTCTGTATAAAATATCGAGCTTAAATGTTCAATGACAGCCTTCTCATCGCCGCTTACAGCGTGTTTTAATAATTAAAAAAAAAAATCCGTTGTGTCTCCATTATATCGTGAAAATAGGAATGATTTCGGTACTTGGCACTAGATTTGACCCGGTGTCTTTTGTCCACTCCCCAGACGAGCGCCATTCGGAAGCAGACGAGTCTGTGTGAACTGCACAGCTCTCTGTCGGAGCTATCTGCGACCGGAGCGCCGTCACAGCCAGAGAAGCCAGCCGACCCCTTCCAAACTGCCGCACAGCTCTTGGCCTCCAAAGCGGAGAGTGGTACAGACAAGCCGGCCGATCCGTTTCAGACTGCAGCCCAAGTACTGGCTTCAAGGTCGGGTAGTGGTAGCGACCGACCGGCTGAACCCTTCCAGACGGCCGCCCAACTGCTTGCTTCAAGGACTGAGAACGACGCTGACCGGCCGGCTGATTCGTTCCAAACGGCGTCTCAACTACTGGCCTCCCGGACAGGCGGCAGCACCGACAAACCAGCCGATCCCTTTCAGACGGCTTCTCAACTGCTGGCTTCAAGGGCAGGCAGTAATGCGTACCGTCCAGCGGACCCCTTCCAGACGGCTTCCCAACTACTGGCATCCAGGGCCGGCCGGCCGGAGGACGATGTTGAGCGATCACCGCCGTCCTCACCCCAGGCTCGGACAGACACAGAACCACGGGCGCAGTCTGATGACGAGGTGCCGGATACTGAGCGCGCGGAGTCACCGGCTCGGATCCGGGTGGACTCCAGTCCCGAACCAGAGTGTGTCGAAACAAAACCACCGTCCTCGGACTCCACCGGCGGAGATTCGTTTGCCACAGCCACCTCTCTGCTGCAGAAGCGCCGTGTGGCCCACGCCGGAGCCACGAAGATAGCCCCTACACCGCCTGAGGATCGGCCGGCTGAGGCTGCCGCACCGGCGCCGGCGGTTAGTTCGAGCTCCCGGCAGACCCGGGACTCCACCGCGCGCTCCGGCGGGTTCCGACTGAAGCGAGGGAATGACCTCCAAAAAACAATCACCAGCTTCTTCCAGCTGGCATCGGCGGCCAATGGGACGGCCTCTGGTGGTCCCCAGCAGGAGTCGAACGTGAATGAGAGGGACTCAGATGGGGATGAGCCTGTGGTGATCGAAGAATCTGAAAAGAAGCCAGAAACTAAGGCGAGTGAGAGCTTAGCTGTGATATCCAAAACGTCCGTGGTTTCGAGTGCAGTACAGGACGTCGACGAGAAGCCCGTCGCCGTCTCGGCGCCCCCGCGAACTACTGGGTCAGGCAGCCGGTCGGCAGCTAAGGCGCGCAGCGGCAGCAGGTCACTGCCGGCACCGGCGCCGGAGAAGAGAAAGTGCTCGATGGCGGAGCTGTTCGGCGAAGATGATGATGCTGCGCCGGTCAAATCGTCTCGCCCCGCAGAGTCTGAGCGGAAGCGGCCCCGCCACGACCGTCGCCACTCTTCCCGCTCCGCTAAGTCCAGTTCAACCAAGTCCAGTCCAGTGAAGTCTCAGTCCAGTTCGAAGCGGCCTAGCCGGTCGGCGCGTGCTGAGCCCAGCGCCGACCGCCGGTCATCCGACCAGGGTGGTCACTCGTCCGCGGAGCGCCGCTCGGTGGCTGACCTGTGCGTTCAGCTGCTGATGCCGCACTACAAGGCCGGCAAGATCGCGTCCAAGGACGAGTTTAAGACGCTGGCCAGGAGCCTGGCTCACTCGTACCTGCAGCGACACACGACCGTTGGTAAGTCCCTGTGCTCATCAGGATAATGTCCTCACAATAGTAAAATGGCCATTTTCGCTATTTACCCCGTTTGCATTGGTTTTTGGTAGGTTGCGATTGTTGTAAATTTTGATGTATAGTTCAGCCATTTCGTAATCCGTTTTTTCACACTTTGGTAGTCGAGTCTTGATGTTCATTTTTACTGGAAAAGGAATGCTGTTGTAAATGGTGCTCTTGTATCTGTTTCAGATGAAGGCAAATGCCGGATTATCGTAGAAGAGGCTCTGGCAGGACATCAAATTAATTGCAAGTGAACTGGTGAGCGAGCGAGGCTTCTGGTAGTGCTAGTGCTGTTATGTGTAGAGCTGTGCAGCTATTTGGGTGCCGGTGTTTTAGTATTATTGTCGGCTGGTGTTATTTACCGGCTGTGACCTGTTGCAGTGTCGTTCGTATATCTCATGAATATACTTACTGTGCCAAAAGTTGGGTGGCACTTGTCTTTTCTTTCACTTATTTGGTGATGTTGTTAGTGATCTAAATCAGGGGTCAGCATCGGGCTCAGCCGGTGGGTCGGATCTGGCCCACAGTTGTAAATTTGGTATCGGTAAAAAATGTAGAGATCTTGCCCTCGGTCACCACCCCTCCCCGCTCCCCCTAACAGCATTCATTGTAGGTATTTATGGCACAGCAGGGCCCTGTTTCACCGGTGATAGCAGCACGCTACTATCAAATTGCGCGAGCTGACGTAATGTGATGACGTCACACTAATGACGTTTCGTGTAATCCGTGAGCTTTTTCATGGCTACGTTTGGAACAGACTTGCTGTCTCGTTGAATGCGTTTGATACATTCGCACGGCCGTGAAGATGTTAGCAGCAATATTTGATGACATCACACAGATTGACGACGGCATGGTTTGTTGATGTTTCCATGGAAACCTAATTTGACACGTGTAATAGCAGCGTGCTGCTATCACCGGTGAAACAGGGCCCAGGGCAGCCCACGTCTTCAGCTGTCACATCCAAACAGTCCATTTATTGCGTTGGCATCTTTCCAAATTGTTGTATGCGCTTGCCGTGCATGATACTATGTGGCTTTTTACGACAATATGGACCACTGGCCACTGCTATCCAGACGATTTGTGCACTTTCTATCGGGTGTGCACCGCACACCCAAAGAAGGCTCCCGATCAATGATTAAATCACTGAATGTTGATATTTGCGTTGCCCAACTTGTTCACGTCTACTGATGATTTCGTCCTCTTCGTATCCGGCTGTGTAATAGCCGTTGAATGGAGTTCTTAGAATTAGCGTGGTTTACGAAGGTTGCTTTCATGACCTGCATATTGGGGTTCGGTTGTGAAATCTCCCGCTCTGTGACGCCTTGCTCATGGAAAAATTACGGCACCTTGCTAAGAAAAGGCACGTCAACGATATTTTTCAATGAGCTTGTATATTTATTTATGGCACGCGGTACCACTTTAAGCCTGTGTTGAGTGGTAACATACGCGACTCATAGTCCACACGCTATGTATCACGTTGAACCACAGCCAGAAACCCAAGCTGCCAGCAGGCGCCGACAAACTTCTTGAACCGGCTATTCCTGATCCGAAGAAGCGAACACAGAAGACTTCAGGCTCCCGCTATTGGAGCGGCAGTGGATGTACGAGTGAACCCGTCATTCTAACCACTCGTCATTCGTACACCGCTAGTTGTCTTTCGGACATCGTTGCTTGGTACCTCTCTTGCGTGCGGGTCCTTGCAGCTATTCGCCGTTAAGTGACTCGAGTCCCGTGGGCTGGCTATTTTCTTTGTGTGCGTTGGCGCCACTAGAATGTTCGTTTACGTCCATTGTGATGCTGTTTTATTTCTGGTATGTCTCAGAGTTTCATATCAACTACCAGTGTTCGTATGCTTGCAAAGCTCAATCGAGCAGCTGAACTGAGACGTTTGATGCGATTTGTGAGGACGCTGTATGATAAGTGATTGGTATTTAGGCTGTGATTGAAGCTGTCTCTGCCTTCAGTTGCGTATTATAATTGTAGTGCGATGTGGCGCAACGTTCGGCCGGTAATGGTGAACGAAAAGACGTCACATGCACGTCAAGCGTACGAGAGTCGTTCTCGTATGATAATCCTGTTCTGTATCTGAGGAAGGTACCGATTGTTTGCGGACGACGTCGGACTACTGGAAATATACCAGCCGATACTGCTCATGTGCCCCTGTAGACGGTACCAGCGGCTTTCTATCATAGCGAGCTGCGCAGTCATGTTGCGTGCTGAAGTGCTGTATAAATTGCCGGTGGCTTGTTTCATTAGGATGTTTACTTCTGTTTCTCAAATTTCGTGTCGTCTGATACACTGGCGTAGTGCTCGAAGAGTTGAGCACCCTGAATGCTGATGTTTTGAGCGCGAGTCGAATCGTACGTACACTTATGAAATAAAGAGTGATTTGAAGTGGCTGTAGCACTCTCCTTATGCATGTTAACCCTCGCCCCGTTGGGGGGGGGGGGGCCATTTTGGCCCCCCCCTGTGGTTTTTCCTGAATAGCAAGAAAACGGCGGCGCGCAGCGCCTCCAAATTTTCAGTACCTTCCCGGGCATCAATTTGACACCTTCACACCAAATTTCAAGTCTTAGGTCACCTTAGGTCAGGAGTTATTGAGGTCAAACTGAGGTCATGTTCGAGCAAAAATGAGCAAAAAACAGGCAATCTTGAAACGCTCACCAAATCTACAGTTATCAAGCAATTTCAAAGTTCTTTATATGGTCTAGTAGACAAAAAGCGGCGCTACAAAACTGCTATCTCGGATTTTCAAAATTTTTGGTTTTTGACCAAAAAAAAAATCAAAAAATTGATTTTTTTAGAAAAACTTTGAAAAAATCCAAAAAATTTCCGAATTTCGAAAAAACCGGAATATATGTGATAGTCCCAGCGCTCTTCTATATACCTACCAAATTTCAGATCGATATCTCGTTTTTTGGCCAAGTTATAGCGAAAAAACTGTTCAAAAATGATGACGTCAAATTTTTGAACTCAATTTTTAGCGATTCTAGACCACGTACGGCAAAACAAAGACCACCATTGAACTCCCCGTGACGAGCTGCATCGATTCGATACCCATTTTATGCAAAAATATTAACTTTGAAATTTGACCTAATTTGACCTGACCTTGACCTGACCTTGACCTGACCTTGACCAAAACGTGATCTAAGCTGGCCCCAAAGGCTGCCTGACCCATATAATCGCATTTGTCATGTAAAATGGACCATAAAACATGTATCACACGACACTTTCATATTGTGACCCCCCGTGACCTGACCTCTGTGACCTGACCTGGTATCAGTGACCTCAAATAGCAAAATATGTGTTTGAAGAACATTTCCCCATCGATGATTTTCAATGAAATGCATTTTACTCGATTTTACAACGCATTTCTTGAAGTGCCTGTAAACGGTGAAAATTGGACCTTTGACCTGACCTGTGACGTCATCGGTTTGACCTAGGTCAATAAAATTGGGTCACAAGGTAGTTCCCCGTTAAGGCTATCCAACGCCGTTTACCGCTTGTCGCTATGTTGCGCGGTTCTCGAGATCTTAGGGGGGGGGGCCAAAATGGCCCCCCCCCCAACCGGGCGCGTTGCTCGGCAGAGCCCAACGGGGCGCGGGTTAAAGAGGAGTGTCTGAAATATATCTATGTGATACATTTTGCGTTCTAATTCCTTTTGCGTAATTTGTTAAAATTGCCGTTCAAAGTACGAAAATAGAGAGCCTGTCGCCTCTGCCTACAATCTCCCATGAATCCGGAGAACCCGCTTTTGTCCGGATGCAGAAATGCGATGGGTGAGACTTACTTACAGGAAATTTTTAGTCATGTCGAGTTGCGAGTTTTATGCCAGAGAACACGTTCTTATGTCACTTAATTTGTTTTGGATAAGAGTGGCGGCCTTGGTTGCGGCACAGCGTAACTGCAGTCTGCAGACGTTTTGCTCCTGCCGTCTTGGGGCTGCTTGAGGCGAGTTGTGAGAGTTCAATCACTGCGGCACAGTATCACTGCAGGCGCTCTGTTACTGCCATCTAGGGGCGAAATGAGAAGTTACGACTATTGCGGCACAGTATCATAGCAGGCGTTCTCCTCCTGCCATCTATGGGCGAAGTGTGAATCTAGCGAGCACTGCGGCACAGCATCTCTGCAGGCGCTTTGCTGCTGCCATCTAGGGGCGAGTTGTGAAAGTACAATCACTGCGGTACAGTATCACTGCAGGCGCCCTGCTACTGCCATCTAGGGGCATATTGTGAAGCTTACGACCATTGCGGCACAGCATAACTGCAGGCGTTTTACTACTGCCATCTATGGGCGAAATGTGAAAGCATTGATTATTGCGGCACAGTATCGCTGCAGGCATCGAGGAGAATAGCTTGTCAGTCCATGAAGTCACTTAATCTGCATTTTCAGACATGCGCATCAAAACCGTTACCGATAGCCTATCCATCTCGGTAAAATTGAAAGCTGGACGTGACCTATGTGGACATTTCAATGGAAAGAAGACGGACTTGATATCCTGAGAGGGCGTTGACGTTAAGACGTTGATTCTGCGAGTGACAAAATATTCCTGGTCTCCATGCCACGCCTTGAGTAAGGACCGATCGAACAAAACTGGAAAGGCTGCCATGAGAGGTCAGCATTGATCAAGACATTGACCTCTCACATCCAACGTGGCCGCATGAGCCCTAGCCATTCGTGTCACGAAAGTAGTCTGCAATAGCCAATAGCACATCTGGTCATTGGATAAAACTTCAGATAGGCACATATTATGCCCATTTAACCTTTTTGGTTATGGGAACATATCGTTTTAGTCTACGATTTTCTGGTATCTACATCCGTGTTTGAATCTAATAATGAACCCACATCAGCTTTAATGGCAATAAATAATTTAAAACAATGAAATGCCTGTCAGTCTATGAGTGATCATGCCACCCATTCGATCACTGCCGACATTAAACGAATCATCGACCAGTAAAGCCATCAGCAAGTAATGACCTGCTGCCGATCAGCGGGGTGCGCAGCCCTATCGATCAACTTTTCCTTCTTGGCCGACGGTGGCACTAGACGTCATTCACGTGGTAGCTCTCGTGCCGTGCTGTTTTCGAATATCTGTAGAGAATTTACGGAGCGGAAAATAATAAGTGAACGGTCATTAATTCGTTTGTTCATATACCGTTCGGGAAAATGTCGATCGCTGATTATTGTGTTCGATTTTATATTTCCTCGGCGTTTCTTCAGTGGCTGTGATGGTTCATCAAAGCGATGCTTTTATTCACTGGGTTTAGGCGTCTAGTTATAATATCGCTAAAGAAGAGGTCATCCCAAAGTATCATACAGTAACCACTAACCATGTCATTTTATCCAAATGAGTCGATGCTTACAAGTATCATAGGGAGTGTTTTAACTTCTCCCTTGAAAGAATCATACGGACCCTTCTACGCCTTTGCAGGTAAGAAAATTACGTCTTTACTGTGTGTTAGTAACCATGCTGTTTGATTCCAAGTAACGTTTATGTTTTTATGTTTTAACTACATCGTTCACACCTTGCTGGATCTTTTGACCTTCGTGTTTTACCCTTTCCGCTTGAAAATTCTTGCTCCGAACCTCTACGCGGAGCATAATTTGACGTAATAGCGGAATACATATGGTAAACGGCGCTATCGAGCATTTCATGCACATTTGTCAGTACCCTTTTTAGCATTAGTTGAATGTTTTTTTTTCTTCAAAAATCAAGCCATGCCACATAGCTTCAGGAGTTTGTCGTTATCACTCAACCTGAGATAGCGGAGTTAAGCTATTTTCAAATATAGGTACGGCCAGACCTCGATACTACGTACGCATGCGTGCATTCGGTGGTATTTTTTAGGCAAATAATTCATTCATGCGTGACTCTGACGCGAGTGGATCAACATGAGTCTGTATTTATTTTCTCAGAATCATCCAACATTTCGGCAAATGTGTCCGAGGCCGACAGTGTGACGGTGGTACCACTGGGTCCAACAACAACCGCTCACCACTCTGAACACCCGGCGGCCCAGAATGGCTCGTCCGCTGAGCACGCCGAGCATGAGGAAGGCGAGGAGCACCACCCGTACGTCATTCTGTTCCTCATGGTGTCGTTCGCCACCGGGGTGCTGGTGCGCGGCATTATCAAGAAGCTGACGTGGTTCAAGCTGCCTTACACGGTGGTTTTGCTCATGCTGGGTGCTCTGTTCGGCCTTGTGTCAGCCCGAATACCAGCACTGCAGCTCTACACGGCGTTAGGAAGAGAAAATCCGCATGTGATCCTGCATACTTTTCTGCCTGTTCTCATCTTCGAGTCAGCGTTCGCTATGGAGACGCACACCTTCCTCAGAAGTAGCTTTTCGGTAAGTAGGCTGTAAAATGTAGTAACAAAGGTAAAAACATACAAAATATCTTGTAAGCTAAGGCTAATCAAGAACAAGCGTCGCTTGTCGCAGTTTTAAGCTAAAAGCTCAGTTTTCGAATGGCTTGCAACCATGTGTTTCGTAGATGTTTTCGCATGTATTTCCGTTATTATCACCTACATTATCGACTGTTTATTTTCAGATCCTCGTACTTGCCATTCCGGGGATGTGCATAGCGGCGGCGATGACGGCCGTGCTGGCCACCTTCCTATTCGACTACTACTGGAACTTCAAGGAGGGCCTACTGTTCGGAGCCGTCACGGCCGCCACAGATCCCGTGGCGGTCGTCTCGCTATTGAGAGAAGTCGGTAAGAAAAATCTATTTGGTTTTGAAAATATGACGTGTGGTTCACACTCTGTGTGTGAACCTTTGATAATCTTTTGTATATGATACGGTTTTTGGAGAATGTGGCATTGCCATGAACCCACCATGAATCGGGTTTAATATTTTGCGATAATGACCAGTTTCAATACAGCCGGTATCACTGACAAATTATTATCTCACTAAGTAGGTCAAGGAAAAGGAATGTTTGGTTATTTGTGCTAATTGCACGTGGTAGGGTTCACTGACACATGTTTTTACCTTCACGTATTTATTTCGATGTATTTATGATATTCATGATCCTTCGGTGTAGTGCTATCATTTGCATGCATTTTCATATGCAATATAGGTACGATACCTACTTGTTTACATGTGTATACTGTCACACTGTGTATGTTTCAATGTTTCCATGAGTGATGAGTGTGTGTCATGCCCCTAGTGTGATACGTCAATATCCGTGTTTGTTCAGGTGCCTCGAAGCCACTGAGTATGCTAATTGAAGGCGAGTCGCTGATGAACGACGGATCGGCGATCGTTTTGTTCCTTATCATGCTGGACATCTGCAAAGGAACGGCGGAGGTGGCAGGTATGCTTTTTGCAAAGTTTTGTGTTGCTATGCATTGCTTAAGTCTGCATTTAAACCGTATCTCGTGTAACTACTCATTACCCAAGATAAACAACGTTGGAATAATCGGTCTCATGAATGAGTTGAATGATGAAAAGTTTAAATGCGGAGTACACACCTTGGACAGAAACTGGTAGAATACTCGAGGGCAGCGCTTTTCGAGGAGCGCTGTGGCCCGAAGGTTTGGACTTTGAATTGTGAAAAACGCCCGCCCGCCGCAAAACGCAAACACCGCAAAACGCACGCCCGAAACGCCAACGCAAACGTCGCAAAAAAATAAACAAACGCCCGCCCGCCGCAAACCGCAAATAAAAAAAACGCAAAAACGCCGCAAAACAATAAAAACCGCCCGCATCGCACGCCCGTTAACCGCCAACCGAAAACGCCTAAAAATCGCCCGCCCGCCGCCAAAAGCAAACACCGCAAAAAAAAACGAAAAAGCGGCCGCCAACCGCAAACAAATTTAACACCGCAAACGACGCAAAAAAAAGAAAATCGCCCGCCCGCCCGCCCGCCGCCAAAGACAAACACCGCAAAAAAAAACACAAAACGCCCGCCCGCCGCAAAACGTTAACACCGCAAAACGTGCAAAACGCACGCCCGAAACGCCGACGCAAACGTCGAAAAAAAATCGTTCGACCGCCGCAAACCACAAAAAAACCGCCGAAACGCCGAAAAAAATAAAACCGCCCGCATCGCACCGACGCTAACTGCTAACCGAAAACGACTTTAAGTCGTCCGTCAGCCGCCAAACGCAAACACCGCAAATAAGCGCGCAGCCGCAGCAAGATAATAATTTATCAACGACTGGCATACCGCTAGGATTCCAGCGATTCAGCTTTTTGGTCATTTTCACGAATCAAAAAGATATCTGCAAAAATCTCCTAGATGAAAGCGCCCAATTAAAAAACGGATGGCACGTGCGTGCTCCTCGCCCCCAACCTCCTTCAGGTCAATCGTCATTTGGGTCACCTAACGCATTGACGACCGGCTGGTTGGAATGAACATTGCGCCAAGAAACGTAAGTATATTGTCAAAAAGAATCCCCAGAATGGTGGATCCCAAAAGTTTGAAACTACCACTCTGACCCACTGGACGACACCTTAAACAGTTGCCGACCGGATGACACCCATTGTTTGGTCACCCACGCCATAGTATGCTTCATGGGTGCGCCGAAATGACCAAAAGTCCAAATTTCCGGTGTGCAGGGTCATTTTCAACGGCACGTGGCACGTGGTTCTGGACTTTTCCGGCCACTTTGCGACATACCCATGGGTAGTGTACCGAATGGTGGCTGATACGCATGGAAGAAAATGGGGGGTCGTTTGGATCGTTTTCGAGCAATCTGCCGTGGAACGCATTTTTTTCAATTTCCCCATTCAAATTCCCCATGGGAATTTTCAAAGTCACGTGGCACGTGCACCAGACTGTCCGCGGAGGAGAGACCCATACCAGAACGTAGATCACCTGGCCCACTAGAAATCCTGAAAAAAATCAGAATTTTTGGAGCAGCCGTTTTCTAGAGCATCAAGTTGTAGGTAGGGGAGAGCGGGGAGAGTTGTATCATGTCCAAGTTGTATCAGGGCGAATTGTGCCAAACATATCCAATAGATGGCGATCGTGACACGACCAGCCGACAAGGTTTTCCGGGCTCCATCTTTCCCTGTTCTGTCGTGTGGCTGGGTGGACGCGTCTCGAGGATGAGAGCCGATTTTATGTTTTTTTAATGTCATTCTAAAAAAATAAGTTGCAATAAAATGTGTGTTTTGGGCATTTAAATGTGCACGAATTTGAAAGATCTCCGTAGCGGTGGTGAGTGCAGGTCCTAAGGCTGCGTGAGTGAAAACGGATTTCTCCAGCTCTCCGCTGTTTTTGAGCACGAGGATGTTTTTCCAAGATGGCGGCGAGGTACATGTTGTATCAGAGCCGGGTGGGGTATGTTGTAACATGTATGTATGTATGTATGTATGGGTATGTTGCTGTTGATCGCAAAAGCTAAGCCCTGGCTGGCGTTTGTAGGTAGCTAGTCAATACTCGTTCCATTTCGGCACGATGTGTTGGCTTCTTTGCTCTTAACGGGCCACTTTTGCGTCTAGTCTGTTAATGTTTCGTTCGTTTCGATGCTTCGTTCGGATTGACCTAAGTTTGGTCTATTAAAAGTGAAGCCTTTGAGCATATACATTGTATTAACCCCATTTAATGTTGTTGTTATGTTCAAAACCAGTAGTAAGCACACTCCCTGAAACGTGAAATAGTGAATAGTGATACAAATTACCCCACCATGTGATACAACTCACCCAAGCCATGGGGCAAGTTGCATCAAAAACCTTGTTCTATTCGGCAGACCGTAGAATAAAAACTGGTAGAGGTAGCGGAAAAGTTACGTTGCACAAAAAAGCAGAAGAATCAAGGAAGGAGATAGTATGGAAATAATGATTTTATCACGGATAGTTACGAGGTTATGGGTCTCGGAGTAAAAACTGATACAACCCACCCCACTCTCCCCTACTGATCTCAGGCAGCTTTTGCCAAATTGTCAGGGAACTCAGATTTGTTTTTCAATAGAAAAACACAATTCTAAAGAATAGTGTTTTAACTATTGACAACAAACCTTCGGTTATGGACACGCACAGAATTCACCTTCTCGCCGATTTCGGACTCCTCTCCAACACTAATGGAAAATGTCCAAGTGTTCGGCGTAACGACCCGACCGATAGGTTGATCGATAAGAGCAGTGAGGAGGCTGGACTAACAGTTTGATCATGATCATTCGACCTCTGAAAATGGAAGACGTCTGAAAATGTAGGGATGGACAATACATGAACCACCGTCTAATTTTAAAGAATGCACGCACACCTATTCTATGCTATCAACCGTCTGATGACCGACCTGCTAATGTATCGACACGCCTCCCCTGCCCGTTCTGCTGACACATCACCAGAGATCTTATCGCGACTGTCTCGAGACGCAGTCGACGCGTGCCGCACTGCTCGGCTCGTATGTTCTCGACTCGTAGCGTATCCTATTTCACACTAGGCGTGTCGTCTCCGATCGGGCCACATACGACACCGCGGAGCTCGCGGGCGCGGTTGAGATGGAGTTGCGCGGGCTCCGAGTGGATATGATGCTATAGCCGTTTTTACGGGACTGCTGCGGCTGCACAGTGTAAAATTGGGCCAAATTGGGATCCATCACGTTATGCATCGCACACGGCAAGCCACTTTAGGTAGTCGAGACTATCTAATAGCCCGTTTGTGAAAAAGATATCAAATATTTGCCTCATATTTTGTCGTTGCTTACATTTTGTCACTGACGCTGCGTTTTCGTGCTGTTTCCAGTGGGCCCGATTTTGGCTCGGTTCTGTCAGATTGCCATTGGTGGGCCCATTTTCGGGATCGCCTGCGGCCATTTCTTCGTGTTCTGGCTCTCTCGGATATTTAACGACGCCGTCTCCGAAATCACACTGACTATCGTGGCGGCGTACTTCACCTTCTACGTCGGGGAAGTTCTCCTGGGTAAGCAGACGGACTTGAATCGGCCACAATGTAGTGTAAGTCGTCTTTGATAATGTTTTTGTTATTGGTTGCCGCATAATATTCGAGCTTACTTAAAAATGACGTGCAAACTTACACTTGATGTAGTCCAGTATAGTCCAGACAAACATTTGATGCGGTGAACCTTCTGAATGCCGATATCGTACCACCGCACTTCGTTTACCAGATTTTGTACTTTGCAGAGGTGTCGGGAGTGATGGCAGTTGTCTGCTTAGGTGTCGTCATCAACTCGAAGAAGACGTCCATTTCGCCAGAAGTTGAGCCGTCCTTGCACATGTGAGTCCATTTCACCGACCAGAAAAGAACTTACGACCCGGTCTATAGTGTCGCCGCAAATTCAAAGCAAATTAATTGCATTGTGATGATTTGAGCATTCCACTTATGCATTACTATGCCGCTGTGACTTACTAGAAAGATTATTTCAAAATGACAACTTTTACCGCCGGCAGGTTTTGGGAGATGCTGGCCTACCTGGCCAATACTGTGATCTTCATCCTCGTCGGTATTGTCATCACGGAACAGGCCGCCGTCGTCTTCACCAACAAAGATCTTCTCGACATTTTCGTCCTCTACATCGGCGCCAACTTCATCAGGTCAGAATAAATTGATGTTCCCTTCTGGCAATTACTTTGTATTTTTTTTTCAACAACTGAGCTTGAACGATTTATCTCTCGACGCATTTTATTTGTATAGTGCATCGTAGAAAGTGAAATTATATTACTCGTAACATAGATAACGCGCTTGATCAAGAACCCCATTTCATCCCCGCTCTGTACCACGCTCACGGTCCCGCTGTCCCATTCACACTTCTCTGCCTTTACTCACCGCAGAGGCGCGATGGTGATGATGTTCTTCCCGCTGCTGTCGCGCATCGGCTACGGCCTGTCGTGGCAGTCGGCTCTGGTGATCATCTGGGGCGGCCTGCGCGGCGCCGTCGGCCTCTCGCTGGCGCTCATCATCTACCAGGACCCGCTGCTCGGCTCCGGTGTCACTCGGAACGTCACCATCATCGGGCCCGACGGCAACGACGTGGTCGTCCACAAGGTCGTCGGAGAAAAGGTCCGTGACTGACGGACTGTGATATAGGCAGATAAGTCGTTTGGTTGCTTAGAAGTAATCTCTTATGTTTGCTTTTAAATCGATTTAAGATAAATGCAGACGGTTGTCAATTATTAATACGCATAAATTGACATGTTTTGATAAAATAAGCCAATCGAATCTCCCGGCTGTCGGCCTCGGTTGGAAGACATTAACCGTTGAGAAAGCGAAAATCGCACTTATATCAAATATTTTTTTTTCAATTTAGAACGTCTAGCGCGCATTCTTGTCTCCTCACGATTGGTATTGTTGTCCGCCAGTTTCTGATCCACACGGCGTCACTGGTGTTCTTCACGCTGTTTATAAACGGCACCACCACGGCGCCGCTGCTGCGCATCCTCGGCATGTCGGATATCAGCGCCGCAGCCAAGATGAACATGGCCCACGCCATAGCGCAGCTGAGAGAGACCAGGAACAAGTGAGTGCCGAGTCGGCGACGGCTCCTCACACGGATCTCCGGCTTTACACACATATCTCCTTTACGGCCTATGTATCGCTGGTCCCTTACTTCGGTAGTGTTTGGTCAACTTTTAAAATCAAACATCGCAACTTCCCGCACTTATTATCAGAAGTCCCGGATCAATAAATGCGTGCTTTACGTAACTCCCCATGTCCCCAAATCATGACGGAAACTATAGCGGAAATCCCACATGCATTGCTCGGACGGTGGAGACGGTCGCCAACTGACCACCGAAGACGGCTGGGTATGCGAGCATAGTAAATGTGTTTACCCCACGCTACCATTACCGATTTTCCATAGATCGATGGATATGTCAGCTGATCAGTGATCGTCTTATGTCGGATGTAAATGTCACGAATACGATGGACCGTGAATACTGACCGTATCTTATTAGAACCTTATTGGTTGTCAATGTGGTATAATGGCCTCTTGATTCCTGCTGTTTATCAATGAGGGCTAACACATTAAAAACGTTCTGTCTGTTACCCAACGCCTTTCTTTGTGTTTCAGGACAATTTCGATGCTGAAGATGGACCGTTTCCTAGCAGACGCCAACTGGGACATGGTGGAAAAATACACCTTTATCATCAACCCCTACCACAAGAAGGACACTGACGATAAAAAGTTGATGATTGATGAGTTCCTGTACCCAAGCATGCGCTACTCCAACTGTCCAGAGTGCAACAGTCGAGTGTTCAACGAGCCGACGCCCAAAGAGCACTTCGAGATGGCCAACGACGCTCGGGTCCGCTACCTGAAGACCGAAAAGGTGAGTACGTAATGGTGGTTACCATTATAGATTTGTCGCTTTGGCTGGGTACGTGCTTGCTTACAAAGCCTGATGTGTTTTGGGTACGTGCATGCGTGTGGAGTCTGAGCCGACTGGTAGTGCGAATTCGGTTCGAACTGCTTCACATCAGTCGTATATGCGTTCTGATCGAGATGGCCTGGCGGTCACTCACAAATACTGCTGAAAAAAATGACCGAACTTTTCCTCAAATCGCACCTTTGCCCGCTAGTTTTAACCCTCACCGGCACAGGGGGGGGGGGGGGTTGATGTACCCCCTAAGGTTTTTTTTGCAAATAACTCGCGTAAAGAGCGGCCGATCGCAACGAAACTTTCAGTACCTTCGCATTGAGCAAGTTTACACCTACCCTGAAAATTTCATGACCCTGACCCAAATGACCTTTGACCTGTGACCTACTTTCCGAGACCATGTTTGGCCGGAATCGCGATTCGGCGTATGTCGGCTCGCATTAGCCGCGCGTTTGCAAGCTTTTCGTGGTTTCAAACGTTCAAACATGTGATTTGATGTTGCTCCCATGCATTAGGGTGGATGTCAAGGTCATCTGAAGGTCAGGTCAGATCATTGACCTTTGGTGACCTCGGTTCACTTTTTCGAGTTTTACATGTTTCTAGGCTAGTTTTTGGAGCTGATTTCGAATTTAGCAACCATTTGAACATTTACGAAGTAGTTTTGGTGCCTTCGTAACATGTTACGAAGCTGTCAGAGGCGGTTGACACGTATTACGAATACCCGTCACGACCACGACCCCTACCGGTTGCCGTGACCTGACTTGACCTGACCCGACCTGGTCTAAATGAAGGTCACCCGATGAACTAGGACCTTAAAATTGGATATCATCGGCTTCCTCTCGTGAAGGGCAACACGCTCGTTTTTTCCGCGAAGCTCTAGCTCGATCAGGGGCCAAACGCGAGGGGGGTCGTACCAACCCCCCCCCCCCCCCTCCCCCTTGTGCCGTCGAAGGACGCAAAATGGCCTGTGCCGGCGAGGGTTAAAGGAAATGAAGGGTCGCTGACGCACTATTAGGTGTGAGGTCATTTGTGGCACGGGGAGGAGTCGGTACCGGTCCTAGCGGGGACGGTGGCTGCGGCAATGCCGTCTCCCCAGGAAATATTAGTCCAGCGCCATGCCGGGTCGTGAGGTTCCGTCGGCCACAACCCACCGGTGACCCGGGCGGACGTCGGGTCTCGCCGGCAGTCCGCCGGCGCCGTGGATGGCGAGACGGGCGAGCTGGTGCCGGAGGCGGGCGGCAGCGCGGCGGCGCCCGACGGCGACGACGTCAGTCAGTCGGAGAGCACGACCAGCGACTGGACGGCGCAGCAGGACGACGACAGTGACCTGGCAGACGAGGAGGCAGGGCCCACCTACGAGGAGCTCGACGATGCCCGACGTCGCTACCTTCAAGTGGAGCGGGTGGGTGGCAAGGCCCGACTAGCATGCAGCGTATTGCGCTTCAAACAGAAAATGCGTGTTTCGTAGGGTCTCCCGAATGCTTGCTCCCGTCTGAAAAAAAACCAAATCGCTTAGTTCAGCCCTGAGGCCACGAAGAAGCTTGTGTTCATTATTATACAAGGGTTCGGTCATTTCAAAACTGTTGCAGCGAAACTTCTGGCTCACCATTTTGGGGAAAGACGATGAGTCGCCGATGAGCACCGACGCGGCTCGAACTGGGCTCTCGCTACCAGTCGGCTCAGCTCCCAGCGCCTTTCCGACTGACTTTATAGACGGGCAGTCGTTTTGGTCACGGGCTCCTAACCATAATTTTCATATCAGTAGTTCTTGAACATAAATAAAGGGTACGATCTTTGAACAGTTGATGTCCGTGAAGTTCACAGGTTCCACTCAAAGCCTCATTTGAATGGCCCTGTTTTCAGATATCGTACTGGCGTCAGTTTGAGCACGGTATGATCAGCGCCGAGGCTGTGAGGACGCTGGTCGGATCGACCGAGGTGGCTGCCGACATGGAGGGAGCCTTCCTGTCCATCGACGAGCTACGGAAATCCTGGGAGGTAGGCGGCACGGAATATACACTGTGTGTGCTTGCCGTGTAATCTGTGGTATTTGATGTTGTTTCTTTAAAGGCAGCTGCTATTAAAAAATACCCCTTTCTTCTGACGTTTGGACTGTTATCGAAGGATTACTGGGGCATTATTTTGTCGGGCAGGTGCGCGGAGCGTTCGCCTGGATGCGGCAGCGGCTGGAAACTGTCGCTCGCTCCACAGAGCTGGACGAAGAAGAAGGCGATCTGCCTCAGGCTAGCTGGCGACAGGTATGCAACAATGACATTATTTGATATTGCAGTCGAGGCGGGGTAAACGCATTGCACAGGCAAGTTTTGAGACACTGATTTGCCACATTTTTCTAGAGTTGCGTCCTGATTTCCAGCAGAGTGAATATGTTTGTTTCGTAGTACCTAAATTGGAATAACTTCTTTCTAGAAAATCGTGAGTCATCAACGAATCAGATCGTCATCTTTTCTGAACCGTTTTTATATCTCACCTCATTCTTCATTTTCCCAACCAAAATTCTTCATTTCAGGCTATTTACCGTAAAGTGGTCAACACCACTTGGTTCGAGGTGCTGGTGTACACGGTCATTCTGCTCAACATGGTCCTCATGATACTGGAGCTGACCATGTTCGATAAGATGGCCAAAGAGGACGATCCCGAGCACCAGGCTCGCATCCACAGCATGGAGCCGGACCACAAGAACTCTGCACACCGCAAACTGGAGCTGCTCCGCTTCTCGGTCAATATATTCTTCTTCCTATTCTACGTGGCCGAAGCAGTGCTAAAGGTGAGATATCGCGGTGAGATGAAGCTATAGGTAAGAATAGGCCGTAATATTCTGTCCATACTGTACTACTGTATCATTTGTGTTCCGCAACAGCACGCATTAGCAAACTGAATACCATCTTCAGATTATCGGTCTGGGATTCTGCAACTACTGGAGCACCCACTGGAACAAGCTGGACTTTGCCGTGGTGCTGCTGTCGATGGGAGACATCACATTCGAAGTGTGCTCACTCATCATCCGCGAGGGAATCGACGAGAAGTTCAAGATCATCAGCCCGGCAATCCTGCGCAACATTCGATTCCTTCGCCTGTTCCGCTTCACCCGAGTGCTGCGACTCATCAAGGTATGTCACGCACTAATAAGGAAATACTCGGAATCGGGCGCTTGACGGAATGACTATGTGCTTATCGTTAAAATGCTGGGGCGACTACCGCATCCTCTCGTTCCCAAACGGGAATAGGTATAGTGATACATGTGTAGGGATAACACGTCCTCTGAATTGACTTCATGATAATGATTGACGTCTTCCGAGTCGTCGGGAATTAACTAATCCTGCTTTCCGTTTTCAGCCGATGGTGCCGCGGATTTTGGACTTTTTGAACCGTCAGATCAACCAGCGGCTGTCGCTGGGCTACGACATCGGCAAGGGCTATGTAGTGGGAGAGGAGGAGGTGGCCAAGTACATCAACCACATGGTCGACCACAAACAGATACTGGAGAGCCTCAAACGGCTCTCAGACGAAAGCAGGTAAGTGCGATTCATGGTTGTGGTCCTGTACTGACAGAGCGATGCGTAATATGAATAGTACCGAAGCGCTGTGCAATCCGCACTGGTATGGTAGTTCTCATAACTGCCTGTGCAACATTTGACGCTACAAACTTTTTGCAGGCTCATGGTGATCCGAGACTTGGGAATGCTGCAGCGAGAACACCCTGGCATTGCCATAGCCGTGAAGACGCGCCAGGCAGTCCGCTCGGTCCTAAACAACGTCAGGGAAACCATCACCGAACTCAAGGAAGGAGGTCGGTGGAATAGCGATACAAAAGCATAAATAGTGTCCATGACAATGTCATTACAAATACTGTCCATTAATAATATTCGACGTTATCTACGAAACCCTTAGTATCCTTCGAATGTCTAAGTTACCATCGAAATATTGTCCTGTGTTTCTGTGGGACAGGCTTATTGGACGAGGCCGAGTACTCGCGACTGGAGCACATTATCGACGATCGCGTCAAGCTGCTGATGGTCGCCCCACCGTACCTGCCGCCGCTGCCGCCCACCGAGCTGCTCAAGAACATCCACTGGGTCGGCAAAAACCAGCTCCTGGTCGACCACCTGGAGGTCAGAACATCTCATTGGTCCACACATTTGGCAGCCCTCTGTTTAATCGTACTGCTCTTCGAAAAATCACTTACTTACATTTTCCAGCTAATTGTTTCAGTACTTTGATGGCCTACAAAAATGCGTTTTTATTATCGTAAGCAAAACGGTACCTGCATTACCGTAAATGGTGCTGGAGCGCGATGGGCGTAAACGATAATAATAAAGGCCTGCGTCTGCTTAATAATGTTCATCATATGTCGTTTCACGCCCTTCAGAGTCATGCACAACTAGTAAACCTGGACTTTGGTGACAAAGTGAAGGACTACGGAGATGCTCCTAACGGCATTTACATCATAGTCTCCGGTATGCTGAGAGTAGAATGCCGTGAACCCGCCAAGCTTCATGAAGTGAGTATAATTGCGTAGTGACATGAAATGTATGGAGCTGTTTCCATTCATGCAAATTACTCGTATGCTAAAACAATCATTTAAAAGGGTCATTCATTGGCTTCAGCATTTCTTAAATATTTTTCAACATAAATCCGGTTAGGCCAAAATTAAGCGGTATTTGAAGTACTGAAACGCATGTTTTAATCAATCTGATCTGGTAGATGACTACTCAGTACTCACAGCGATAAACACCGCTGCACATTGCAGGAGATTCTGAAGACGGGCGTGCTGCCCAACTCGGAGATCCTGGCCCCCTCGTACGAGGTGTCCGTACTGCGCGACTACGTCGGCGCCGGTAATGTGATTGGCGAGGTGGGGGTACTGACTGGCCGACACCGGGACGCCAGCGTCGAGTGTGAGACCGCCGTGCAGGCCTACTACATCTCCAACGAGGTGAGGGACACGGGCAAACGGATACAGACGCATGCGTTACGAATAATCAGACGGACAGATAAACACATAATTTGTTTTATTTTTTTTTTAAATAATTTTAGTCCGAACCTTTTGATAGGAAGGATTCACAAGGACAGAGCCACCGCTAAGCGAAGCTTGTTGCGGTGACCCTGCCCTCTACCCTCCGATCGCGCCAATTCCAGTTCTATGGCAGAATTTAGAGTCCAAGGTTTAACGTGCGCACATAGCCGCGCACGGCCGGTCCCCTCACTGACTTCGCCTGGCTACGGCCTGCCACCAACCGCAACCATACCTGTCAGGAGGCCCATAAATGTCAAGCGCCCGTCGCGCTTCGAACCCGGACTGTTGTAACCGGGAACGCGTGCTCTCACCACGCGGAGTCCAACGCTCTACCAACTGAGCTACGGGACCGGACCGGCAAATACGCATGTGGGCAACATATGTAGACACTGACATGACAGGCATGCACACATCAAATCCGTACTCACAACTCAAAATGAGTAAAATCGCACACTGAGTACGACCTCGAGGGCTTCAGCTGATCAGCTATTTGATAAGTTTTTGCTTCTCCCGACAGGTGATGGCAGAGATGCGTTCCAAGTTCGGCGAAGGCCCCGAGAACCTCGAGTACATGATGTGGCGCAGCATCGCCATGCGAGTGGCAATCAACGTGCTGATGGACCAGTCCCAGTACCAGGTGAGCCGCCCTCAGTGGTTTCCAGCCGCGTTTGAGCGCATAATGAACTATATGAAAATATATGCAATAAGCATGCCAGACTCACGAAAGCAAACCAAATAACGTTAGCATAGGCTGTTGGCATCATTTTTGGCGACGCTTCTTTTCGTGACGCTTCAGCCGCGGCTCACTGGCAATGGCAGACCAAACATTTTAAATATTTCTCTCGAGAAGTTTTGTGTTGTTACATTCATTTGACTCGGCCACTCGTTTACAGTCGTGGACGCAGCAGAGGATAAAAATCTACGTAGAGAAATGCTTCCTTCCCAAGCTGGACTACAAGAAGACATTCACAGCGGTTGATTATTTGGAAGACGTGATCTTAGTGCAGGGCAAGGCGATGAATCCCCATACCAGAGAGGTGAGTCACTGCGCTCCAGCGATACGTCTGTGTCATTTCACACATCGCAAAACCTATTTAGCTCGATTAGTAGGTTTGAAACCGAAGCTTACCGTCGGTATAATTTAACGTCGGCTATATTTCAGCTTGTTGTCGAATTTTGATAGGTGGAATATTGCGGACGTTGTAAAAGAGGTCCGCATCTGCTGGAATTCATAAATAATGGTCGAAAATCAGCGCCTACCGTCCGTTTTCGCTCGAATATGATTGCTCTCAATAATTCACCGTGTTTATTTGTGTTTTCCGCAGGTGTTCACGGCGCCGACGTACGTGCCGCGCACGGTGCACCAGCTGGCCTTTCTGACGGAGCGCCGTTCGAGCACCAGCGGCTCGGCCGTGCTGCCGCGGCTGCTGGTCATCCCCGGCGCCGACATGCCGCAGTCAGACATCTGGGAGATGATGGGATACGACGCCGACGCCATCGCCACCAAGACTGTCAGCTCGGTGGCCAGCTGTAACATCCACACCAAGTCGTCCCGCGGCCTGCTGGCCTCCCGGCCGTCACTGTCCGGAGCCAACCGAGCGTCGCCGTCCATGCCGAGGGTCGACGAGTAGCGACGGAGGTTCGGGAATCAGGAAGGGCCAGTCGGTCAAAGATGGATGCAGAATCTCAGCTAGGTGAGGGACAGAGCTGGTCCTCAGGCAGCCTAGACTCAGCACTGCGATCCCGCCTTCAAAGAGGCTGATTTTCGTCAGATTTCAGTTGTACCTAATGATAAACTGCATCAATATCTATTTGAGCTCGGCGATTAAGCACAAACAGCATTCGCAGAGCATTTAGGACGTGCGATGTAACAATGTAGGTTGTAGAACTTGGAAAGTTGTATGCACATGATGCAATCATGAGATGTAAATGCTCGCAAATAAAGGTTGTTGTCTGTTCACCATTACAAATGATTTTAGTCGATGACGCCAATTCGGATTGAACGATTTAGTCAATTACGTCAATTTGGATTGAACGCTTGTGCCTGCGGTTAGCGAAGCCTGGCGAGCAGTCTTTCTCGCCTTTTCCTTTCTCTCGCTCTACTAAAGCGCGACGCGTTTTTTTTATGGCAGCAAAAGATAACAGCTCAATTCTCTTATGAGTGAACACAAATGTAAAAAATATACCATTTTCATAAAAAGGAAGCTTTAAAGTAGCGTGGACGGATGTTGAAAAGTCATTTCGGTTCTTTTATGATAATCGAGATCGAAATTGATTGAAATGGAAAAACTTGTAGGCTAGATGAAAATGACATTTCCAGCAAAATGTAATTTTCATCAATCCCTTTTGTAGAAGAAAGGTCACAGTAGAATATTGCATATCATTTCGCTCATCTTTCTCGGATAATTTAAAAATGAATTTGTAGCGGGGCTCGGCTGCAAGATATTTTATTTGTTTGTTTGATTTGCGAGGCTGGTCAGTCACTGGCGGACACATAGACTGCTACACTGATGGAGTGGGCAATGGGGTTAAGTTGGAATGCAAAAAAAGGATCTCTGACAAGGTTACCCTGATAAATCTCTCTTCCCGATCAAAGGATTAAAATAACGAAAGTTCATTAACGTTGCAAACTTCCATTAACTGCACAGAGGGGCGCCTCCCACTGGATATAACCATTCATGCTCCCATTCACACCATCATGCACACTTCCCATTCATACAAATTAAAACACCAGGTCGCTAAACCAGGGGCGGCGGATTCGGGGGGGCAGGGGGGGCAGCTGCCCCCCCTGGCAAAATCGTGGGGGGGGGCAAAAGTATCTTTTTGCCCCCCCATAATTTGCGACAAAGCTTAGACAAGAAACCATATACCTGATTATTCTGTTCGATCATCTGAAGATGTAACCAGATGCCCATATACTTTCAAACGTTGTCTTTCTTAATTGGCAAGCGTTCGCGTTCAATTGAAGTTTTCCTCTCTTCAACTTAGTTTTGGAGGCATTATAAGCGTCAACATGACGCACCGGCAACCCAGGCCTTCAGTGACCGCTTACAGGGGCGACAGATACAGGCAGAGGAGGCATCGTCCCCTAAGAAACTTTTGGAGGAGGGGCAAACGTTACAACGTATATTCTTGCCCCTCCATAATTTGTGCCCTAATCATGAAGAAAATTTCATAACCTGATATTGCAGCTATGCGCTCCTACAGTTTGTCCAACGGTGCCTTTTGAATATGTGTAAATGCCAACCATTTCCGCTTTATATCATTTTTTTTTGTCTTTTTAGATTCGATTTAGAGATATTTTAAGTGTGCAAGAGACGCAACTCATACCTTCAGTGGTCGTTTGCCGCTATTTTGTACCTACATAAATGCCAAATCGCAAGCGATCGGAGACGGAAGGGCTAGCCATTCGTTTGCGGGTAGTTAGGACTGATGCGCTCATAATAAGCCACTCGCCTGATTTTTTTTTCAAGCGCAACAGTTTCCAGCGCATAAAATGGTAAACGCCGAGGTCGTACTTACACATTGACCACATTGACCAATGCACGGTCGACGGTATGGTATGACACCCAAAAGCCAGTCATCAGAGATCTGCTTTGGGCATTCGGAGGCTTGTGTGGGGCCAGTGTTAAAACTGGATGTTCACAGTTCAGTATCCGCTTTATTTCAGTTTTTACTATTAAAAAAACAAAAATTAATGATGGAAACTTTTGAGGGTTAGGGCACTGATCATTAGTGCCCCCCCCCCCCCCCTCTGTCTATAGGCTGGCTATAGAATAAAGAGCATCAACCACGAACAGTAGCGGCGGAACACCTTCAATTAAGGGAGGGGGGGACACTGCCGACTTTTGGTCCCATTCTTTCCATGAAATGCCAAAATCAAAGGGGGGCACGGTGCCCCCGTGCCCTCCCCGTTCCGCCGCCTATGAACACGAAAGCAAAATCTAAGGCATTTTGGAAAAATGAGTATGCCCCGCAGCGTCCGATAACTACCACTTTCCATTGGGTCAAGCCAACCAAGTGTATAGCTATGAATATTTTTTTATTCATATATTATTTTCATAATATTATATATTCATATATTCATAATATTATTTTAGTATGTATATACTTGGCTTGGCCAAGTGTATACACTTGGCCAAACCAAGTGTATAATGGCACTTAACGATAGCACTAACCTTGTCTCACTTTTCGTTGAAGTCTGTTCCGAATGGTTTCGGCCACAGACTGGCTGCACTGAGGTCGTTTGGTATGTGCAACTGTAATTAAAGCCACCTGAGGCGCCCTGACACCAGGCTGAAGCTGGGTTGGAAATGCTTCGTCTTTGCAGATATCACTGGCCACTGATTCTCGAGTGCCTGAACCGGTAGATGTCGTGGCAAAATTTGGTGTGATAATTTGGACCTCACCGCAGTCAGCACACCCTAAGGCCCTAATAAAGAAACGCCCCACCCAGAGCTTCTGGATTCTCGTTCCAGTCCAACGTTCCTTCACCTCAGCCCGCCGCCGCGCTCCCTCGCCCTCCGTTCCCAGCTTGACGAGCGTTTGGGCCTTAGTTAAGCCATGCTGTAGGCTTACTGTATAAACCCATCGAGACAGCCCGTCTCGGTGAGTTTAGTTGGCGAACTACTGCCTTGGGGTGGGTTTCTGGCGGATTGCTGTCCCAATAGGTTTAGATGCGACCGACTGTCTCTGAATGTTTGAGCGGTCTCCTCCCGCTGTGAGCTAGTTTCAGTTGATATCTGTCTCAGAAATACTTTTTAATGGAAGGTTAAGCGGAAATCGAACGTAAAATGAACAGAAGAAATGGTAACCAGTTACCTCATTGCAAAGAATAGCGCTCGCCTACTTCAAAAGGTTTGGCACCGTTCTTCAACATCTGATATGCGATCGGGTTATGGCACAATTTTTCCCATTGGAGCTTTTTTTCTAATACAGCAATACGAAAAGCGTTACATCGTCCACTGGCGGATCCAGGGAGCGGGCATTTAATGCAAATATTTACTCCCCCTCCCCCTGGCTCCTGCATCGCCCGAAATAGACAAAACGTACCTTATGTTTCCTAATAATAACACTTTTATCATATTTTTTTGCTTTATGCTGTTCAGCAGTAGGTAAGCCCGTAAGGAATCGAAATCCGAGGAGTTTTTGGATTTTGGACACTTTTTTGGGGGTATGTCCCCTACAGCGTCGAAAACGCCTTTCTGGATCCGCCTATGACATTATATCGACTGGGATCTTGCCCCCCCACGCCAAAATCGAATCCGCCGCCACTGCGCTAAACTGGCCCCTCCCTGTTTACCTAACCTCCCCCAGTGGTGTACAGTAGCCGTTCGTAAGCATGCGTCAAAACCTTTGTCCTTTGCCATTATACATGATCTCTGGAAATTTCCTTCTTAAGATTTACGTCCGTTGCTTGATAAAATGTATTATTCCCCATTCGACTGCTATAGTTCTCTCTTAAAGCTCGCCCCTAAAAGAAATACAACCCTTCCCAAAATACTCATTAACTCCAACCGGCTTTATTCACCTTGCGATTTCCGTTTACAATTAACCAATATGGCTCAATCATCATAGATAATACCGATCGAGTGACAATAACATACACGTCATACCTTGTCGGATCTTGGCCCTCCCCTCTTTCTGATATCTACGGCAGCGGAGGCCTGAAACCCTAACATTAAACGCCCCAGTCACATGATCGACGCAAGACGGGCTAAGGGTGCGTGGCGGCACGATGTGAACGAGTGCTGCCGCCGTCTTAGTGCCGACATGTGATGGGCCTAACCCGCACGTCGCCGGTGGCGCGGCCGTGCCCTACCTATCCCCCGGGTCATAAAACTGTCAGTTAGGTTCCGCAGGTAACACTACACCGTAGGTTCTATGAGGGACATAACCTATCCTTTTGCCGGAGTGAGATTTTAAAGCAGGCCGGATTTCCCTGCCTTTTAGAGGGTCCAACCCTCCTTCCGAATCACTCCGGGTGGCCGAAATTTAAGGACGACTCAGCAACTTCGCCCCGTGGTGCCCTTACCGCGCCAAACCACGCCCGTGGGGTATTCCATCTTCCCACACACCCCGGGTCCCTTCCCGCCCAGGGGCCTTGGAGCAGCCGGACCTATCTGCCACTACCCCGCATCTGGCCGGAGGGAGTACTTAGTGCACCTTTCTGGAGGCCTCCCTCTTCCAGGATCTTGAGACCAATAATAATGCGTCTTTCTGACGCGCTAGTCTCCCCCCCCCCCCCCCCTTCGGGACGCCACCCGAGTTTCTACACGGCCTTCGAGTTACCGCCCTTCTCTGGACCCCGATATCCCGGCCGTTCCCTCCCTAAACTGCCGTCGCAGACCCTACTCGAAATGACCAACGCGCGCCCATGGCTACGTGGCTGCCCGCGACATGGCCAGTGTCGGCTCGCAGCCCTCACATGGTTCGCACGCGTGGTATATATATTGTTACCTGGTCGGCCCCGGAACTCAAGCCGGTTTCCCGCGCCACTCCGGCGCAATACCCTTCCTATATCTTCCTGAATACCTTCCCGCGCTATACCTGCGCAATAATTAGCAGCGTGACCAGGTCCTACCCAATTCCGTTCTCGTGACCTGCTGGTGAACGGTTTCCTGCGGTGGACTCCGTTCGGCAGGACACGCCGGATACATCCTAACTTTTTTATCACCGGAGTGGGGAGTTATAGGCGGGCGGGATGCTTCCTGCCTGAGGGGTATACCGATCCATGCCGATCGACCCTCGCTTTAGAACCACTCCGGCGGCCGAAATGTTGACGAACGGGTGAACAATCCCGTACGGTGGCTCTCTCCGCGACAACCCACGTTCGTGAGACGCTGTGCCCTCACGCAATACCGGGGAAAACTCACACCCTGAATCGAACATTCCTGCATGAGGACCTCCCGTAATCGAGCAACACTTTCTGTGTCCCTCTGAACTGGTCATTGGGGAGATATAAGATCTG